GAAGCAGAGGAAATATTTTCTAACCCATGATGCCTGTGTTACCTTCCAACCCAAACTAGATATTCCAAGAAAATAAAATTGCAGAAGAATATCTCTCACGAATATAGATGCAAGAAATCATTGACAAAATATTAACAAATCAAATCTAACAATGTATAAAAAGAATTATTCCCCACTTAAAAGTAGAATGCATCCTAGATATACCAGGCTGGTTCAACATTCAAAAACCAATTAATGCACTCCATCACATAAATAAGCTAAAGATAAATCATTTGATCATAGCTATAGATGCAAAAAAAGATGAAGTCCAACACTCATACATGATAAAATCTCTCAGTGAACTAGAAGTAGAAAGAATTCCTCAATTTGATCAAGTATATTTACCAAAAAATCTACAGTTAGTATTACAATAGCTGGGGATTTAGCTCAGTGGCCTGCCTCACAAGCACAAGGTCCTGAGTTCGATCTCTGATACTGGAAAAAAAAATCACACTTAATAGTGAGAAACTTGAAAATGTTTTAATGTAGCAGGTTCATCAGTTATAAAAAGCACACCAGTCTGGTAGAAGATGCTGTAATGGGAGGAGTTGTGGATGTGTAGGAGAGACATCAGGAATCTCCATACCCACCACTCAACATTGCCAGGAAACCACCAAAAACGATTCTAAAGAAGTCTGCTACAAAATACATGATGGATGATGTTTTCATATATTATTCTGGGGAAAGGACTTGTAATACTGAAGACTTTAACAGAAGAGGAACATGAAGATGGGAACAATTGGGGAGGAGGCACTACAATTAAACTGGTACTGAACACGATCATTTAAAAGAATTCCTACATTCTTTTCTATTTCAAATTAGTGTGCTCTATATTTCTTAATCATGATACAGATTGTCTTAATTCTCTTGCCCTTATTCTGAGAAAAGTTTAGTGAAAATATGAATGTAAAGAAAAGGAGTGGGACTAATGAATGCTGTTTAGATTTTTTAACTTCTTTGGTTTATAAATTTAATTGTCAGACTATGTTTCTAGTCTTTCAGTGGGATGAAACATGGTGATTCTTTAGCCAATAGAAGTCACTTTGGGCTGGACTGTCTGAAGCAGTGGTCCTCAAAGCTGTGTACTGGGACCTGGACACTTGTTAGAAATGCAAATTCTCTCAGACCCTCCTCCAGGTCTACTGCTTAAACAAGCCCATCAGGTGATCCTCATGCACTCTTACATGTGAGAACCTGTTTTAAGAGGCTTTCAATGGAGAAAGTGAGGAGATAGACTGGCTTAGTGAGCATGCCAGGGCCAGGCCACATGTGCAAATCTGAAGTGATGAGCTTTCCACCAAGAGAGAAGACATGAGTGTTCTTGTTCTGCATTTTCTTCTCCCATTCAGAGGTCACTACAATATACCTTTTTTACCCTCTGGTGCTGGGGATTGAAACTAGGGCCTTTGCATTGAGCTATAGCCCCATTTTTCCCAACCCCAACACTTTTTTTTTTATTGAGAGAGTGTCTTGCTGAGTCACTAAGTTGTCCAGGCTGGGCTCTAATTTGCAATTATCCTGCCTCAGCCTCCCACAGGGATGGAATTACAGGCATCCACCACCACACCCCAGCTACAATAGGCTATTGCATAGATGTGGGTGGGAAATATTTACTGAGAACTTAGTTATGCCACACATTGAGTAATGCACCATCCATGAGGCTGAGTCCAGCTGTAAATTAGGTGTGGTGGCCCCTATTTTGCAAATACAGAGACAGATGCAGAATGATTCAGCAAGTTCTGCAGGTCGTCATCCATACAACTAGGAGGTGGTAGGGCTGGATTTATATCCAGAAGGAAATGAGTAATAGGTGGTGTTAACATGGAGGAATAAACTGTTTAGAAGCAATGTTTAACCTCTTTGGTTTCAACATGTCGACTTTAACATAAAGCACACTCTAATAGCTTTGGGAGATTTCTAGTTCTCACAACTGTCTGCTACTTAGACTAGAATCACACCATAGCATATAACCAAATTAGTATTTTCTCCAAAAGGACCAGTTCTCTCAGAAGGCAATGTTAGGTGATGATGTTAGGAACCTAGAAACCAGGTTTTTAGTCATCCAGAAAAAAATCAGAAAACATTGTTTTTGATGAAATGTTCATGATTTTGAAATCATGCAACTATTTTATAGTTTTATAGGATGCTAATTCTATCGCTCTTTTTCTGTGCTCAACACAACTATTTAAGAGTCAAATATAAAATTTTAAAGCAAAGTTATTGAGCTATATTTAAAATATATGGCAAAACGTGAGGGAGAAACCAACTGACCAAGGGGCTGTGGATGTTAATTGTGCATTTTCTCTTATAGTGGTATGGTGGAACTAGCTTATAGGAGTATGTAAAAGCCAATTACAAAATCTGCAGGAATTTCATAAGCTAATTGTTAAATATAGCCATTATTAAAAATTAAATTAAACTGAAATCTGGCACAATAGTGTGCATCTGAGTCCAGCTACTAGGGGGACTGAGGAGCCCAGGAGTTGGAGACCACCCTGGACAACATAGCAATACTCTGTATCAGTCAGTAGGTAGACAGAAGGTGGATGGATGGATTGAATAAGTTAAATTAAAAACAAAGTTTAAAAAAAACAAAGGTAATATATACTCACTTCCTAATTAATCACTTTCTAATTATTTTCATTAAATTTTATTATTATTGCTCTTGAAGTAATATAAACCTATTGCATCTGTGAGGTGGAAATACTATACGAAGTTGTGCTACTGCACATTTCTTTGCAACTCTGCATTCAGTGAAATTATGCTGGAAGGTTCAATTTGGGCCTAGTGGGAAGATATACAATGAAAAAAACTGTTTAGTGCTACAAATCAGACCTCCCTTGACTTCAAAAGCCAGTTGTTAAACATTAATTAGCATACCATTTTTTATAATTATGGACCAATTTAAAGTAGAGACATGATTTGAGTTCAAGTGTTTAATTGTTTGTGACTTATACTTTAAAAACTGAAACCAGGGGCACTGAGCTTTAAGACTGTATAAGTTTGGGCAGCAGAGGGATGGCATAGGCAAAGGATTTGAATAGAGTTTAATGAAGGGACTATTTACAGAAGTGTGAGCAGGGCTGAGTTAAAGCACTGCAAGGATAACGAGGTCTCTAAGAAATGGGAGCAGTATGAAATCACTGCTAACTCCTCACTTGCAGGGACGAGGGAGGGGAGGGGTTTAACCAGAACCTGTCAGAACTGTAGCTGTGGAAGAATAGCTGCTCAGCAGGACCTGAGGCTAGGAAGGGTGCAGCCCTGGGCAGAACCAAGCAAGGGTGGAGGGGGAGAGGGGGTTGACCCTCCACAGCCTCTCTCCCAGCAGTGGCCCCAACTTGGCCAATCACAGCCAGAAGCCATGAACAAGGGAGCCTTGGAGAAGCAGTTGATGTCTGTCAGTTTCCCCGAGTACAGAGCAGGGCAGATGCAACACCGGAAGCTCCTGGTATGGAGGACTGGTTCATTTTGAAACATTCCTTAGGGGATCTTGAAACTGGCTTTTAACCATTTATGGAAATTTCCTAAGAGATTATAATTCTAAAAGATTTTTTTCAGTTTGTGACTACTCTTGAAACTTGATGGCTTTAAATCAAAATGAGCCTAAGGATAAAATTCTGCTAGTTTTTATAGCATGGATCTATTGTATCAAATGATAGAATTTTTCATGAGAAGCTTTCAATCTAGGTTATAGGAGCTTAGGACCATTTTTAAGTAACATCAAGTTGGGCTTGTAAAGACCTTCAAGGATTTGAAATTCTAGTGTGTACATGAACTTTCAAATGTGCCCAGTATGTGATTTGATATTAGCTACTCTTGATGTATCACTCTAAAGAGCTCTTGTTACAGTCTCTCTGGCTCATTTGGGGATAGAATCTCTACTAGACATTATAGTATCTAAATGCAGTATTAGGCTGGAGCATACAAAACTATGGATGTTAGACTATTTACAACTTAAAAACCCTCAATTTCAGGTAGTTAAACCTAATAACTATAGTCTCCCTTCCCTCCCAGTACCTTTCTTCAAAACCCTATTCTGTGAGATATTTTAAATTCTAAATGTAAATGCTTTTTCTGTCACTCATTCTCCAAGATTCCTAAATGCTATAGCCACAAAATTTCAGGTATTAGGAGCACTTTTATAGACAATCCTAACGATGCATAGATTGGTTCTGATATAGTTAAGCTTTTTTCATGCACCTAGACAAATGCACTCCAGGGCTGAGTCTGCTTTTAGGCAGGGGACAATAGTAGGCAATTTTGAGGATTTGAAGATTATATTAAGCCTGTGATTCTCAGGAACTTCTGGGCTTATTTGTGGTGTCTCTTCCCTAGATTTTGGGAAAACATGCTTTCTCAAGTCTTGCTGAGTTTGCCAATATGCCAACAGAGCTCAGTTCATCCCTGTCACTTGCTGTTTATTTATTTTTATCTTAGGATAAAGGAATACAAATGCACAGGCTTGCGGAATGCCAAGACTGTCTGGGCTCAGTTCCATTCTCTCTCTGCTGTTTTCCCTTCATAAGCCAATAAACTCTTGTTTGGTGCTTTGATCTTCCCCTGGGTAAGTTATGGACACTTAACAATTTGATATGCAAAAAAGGACATAGCCATTCTGACACTATATCATGTATCTTGAGAAGGTTTGATAATAAATATAGTGGTAATAATCACTCTATTGTATAACATATAGAAATCCAAATTATTCCTCTTTGCCTTGGGGTTTCAACAGATTATAAAAGAAAATCTATGATGATCTGAGTGTTTGCAATTTACTCAGCATCTTTCTCTTACCACAGTTAATATACATTTTAGATTCAATACCATTAGAGTTGTTTTCTTCTTAAAAACTCCCTCAAATTTCAGTATGTTCTTGCCATTTCAGTGGCAATGAATGCATAGTTAACGAGATGAATAAACTCAAAAGAATAGAGCAAAATGAACAAAAAACAACCAGACTGTCATTTATTAATACAAATTTATTAGTGGAATATGCTAGTGGAGAAATCATAAATTCATAACACATAAATTCATACTGGAAATACAAAAATCATTTGAGGATCAAGAAATCAGGTGGACAGCACCATAAAAGTGTACTCAGTCTGTGCAGGTGTGTAGTATCCCAGAATAACAAATTCCTGGAGGAGACTGAGACTGAATATCGTAAGACTGTGCAAACACATTCCAACCCTATTTCCCATCCCACAACAGGCACCCGAAGGAATCTTCTAGGAGGCCTGGGTACAATAAAAAGGCAGCAAGGCAGAAAAATGGTGCCAACCATTATTTCTCTTAACCTTCACAGACGGAGGATGATAGCAAGTAGCACCCCTGAGGGCTTTTGTCCTTCTCACCTGAAGGCATGATACCAAAGTCAGTAACACACACACATGCATGCACACACACACTATTAGTGAGCAAGTTAGAGAATCTGAAAGCAGAGCTTCCACTGAAAGACAATCTACATTTGACATCAAACAATCTGATCCCTAAAATGAAGTATAAAACATAAAAGAAATGAACAATTTTACATCGAAAGGGTAAATCTCAGCTCCACATCATTAACACTTTCTATTTCACAAGGGAGTGTGTGCTTTAGAAGTACTGGCATTCAGTGAAGCAAATGCAGTGGGTGAAGAGCAGAAAGGAAGGGGGCCAGGAGTAGTGCAAGGTCTTTCCTCTTACACGTAGCTCACCATCTCCAGCTCTTCACTGGATGTTGGCCTGGTCATTTCAGACCTGCATGAGGTGCTGTAGGAGCACTCCCTGGTCCCAGTCACCGTTCCCTTGCAAGGCTCCTTCTGCCACCTGTCTGCCCTCCTCCCATGTTTGTGTCCTACTGAGCAGGAATGGAACGGGTATGTGAGGAGAACCCCGGAGCCAGTGGGGAAGTGCTGCTTTAATGTGGAAGCACTCTGGCACTCGTGGTAATTAATGCAGCCAAAGGAAAGTTGCTCTACAGATGACAGCATTAGCATTCACCCTCTAGGTTGTTAGGGAGATTTGGTGCCCAGGGAATCAGCACTGCAGCCATGAGATAACAAATTCTGAGTGTCCCGAGGCTCCCAGAGAAGCTCTGCCTGGAGCCGCCCTAGCTGGTCTGAAGTAGCACCTGACCAGCCAGGCATTTCTGGGCTCATCTAGTCCATTTTCTCCTGAACACTTTACTCATCCCAGAATGTGAAATAAGACTGTCCTCTGAATCTCCTCTTCTGGGGACAAATTCCCAGCCCAGCTCCTGCTAATAAATTATTACAACTTTTCTGTTCACTCCTGAGGACCACTGCTAGGGTCATACCTGTGTAAAGAGATGATTTTCTGCCCCATCAGAGGATATTTTGTACTTCAAATAAAAGAGGTAACTCATTTCCTCTACTTGCGCTTGTGATATCACCACCATAGTCTTTTGCCTCCTCTTTCTAAATTCATTCCTCTATCACTCTATCATCCATAGCATGATACATCCGTTCACCCCACAGACACTCTGGAGAGCCTGTTACATACAAGCACTGCTTCAGAACAAGCCTTCTCTCCCTTCATACAGCACCTACTCTCAAGGAGCATGGAGTGTGGTGGAGACGCCTGAAACTTTTCCAGGTTCATTCTTTCCAGCTTGTAGTACCAAGGTGTGACCAGCTTGAAATGTTCTCAAAGAGCTTGAGTCATTCTAACACAAATGTTGCACAGTGCGAATGCTGTTATTTGCCCAGTGATGATGGTGCACCACGCATCAGGAAGAGAACACATCTTTTACTCCTGATTAATGGAATTGTGCCTCCAGTTCAAAACACCATGATATGCATGCATATGTTTTTGCCAATAAGGCAGAAATGAAAAAGAAACAAAGGCAAACTGTGTGTACATCACACACAGAGCAGATAAGTGGATATTTGAATGCTAAATTATTTTAGAGCCATGTATGTATGTATGGCCTTGTCATGTGTTTGTATGATAAAAATAAGTGCGTGAGCTACCAGAAAAGACCCCCTCCCCACTCAAAGAGAAATCTCCCAAATACCGCACCAGGGCAGTGCCTCCCTGTGATGTGCCGTATAGCAAGGAGGACCAGTATGCACCTGTCATGTTTGATTTCACTCCGTCAGCTCTTGCTTTATTAAACGAATCACTTTCCCGAAACACTAACAAATTAAAGAACCCACAGCCATCAAAGAACCTGGGCTTGTCTATTACTGGACTGGGGAAATCCTGGGGCAGCAGAGAATTGAGGTTAATTATTTTAGGTATGTGGCAGACAGAGGCCATGCTGCAGTGACCCTGTTAGCAACACCCTTCGTCAGGGTGAACCCCTTCTCCCCCAGCTTTCAGTCCTCCCCCTTTGTATGTGCTTGCAGGGAGGTACCCTAGTCTAAAAAGCACATTGAGATTCCTGGGTGAAAAGGGAGCCAGAAAAGCAAGACTTAGAGGCCATGGCACATAGCCCATCAAGTGGGAACAACGTGCAAATGTTTCTGTTGTGCTGATTAGGAGAATTTTTAATGGAATCTGGGTATCTGCAATTTGTACTCTGTTGTGTAGGTGTCCAGGAACAGCCTGAGTAAGAGGAAAACAACCCTGCATTCCACTTACTCTCTTGGACATCTGCCATGACCCATTTCCAGTCCGCTGAACTATATCTGCTAACCTAATTGTCCAACACCTGTTCTAATACTAAAATCCTTGTTTTCTAAGATCAGCCTCACAGAGGAGCTCTTTGGAGCTGCTGAAACCATTAAAGTGATCCATGGAAATAAATCTACTCCAGTACTCTGGGGGTCTCAGTAGTTCTTTGTTTTATGAGGTAGCTCAGTTGTGAGTTGATGCATGTGATGTGTGCTGTCAGCCACTAAAAGCTTTAGTTTTCCCTTTTTTATATGCAAGATTATAAAAATACCTGTATTTCCCCCCATTTTATAAAAATGATTTTAGAAAAAAATAACACATGGGTCTCCTCATTTAAACTTCCGTTCCATCTTGTAAATTGTTTTGGACTCTGACTTCCAGATTCGCTTTTTTTACTTTAGCACCTTTGAACGTATAGGCCCTCTCGGTGTCGCTCAGGATGTTGACATTCCGCACAGTGCAGTACTGTCTGTTCACGTTCTTCTCTACCCTGTCTGGGATCCTCTTGGGCATGTCCACCTTGGTATTTAGAGGGTATTCCCCCTGAATGTCCTCTGTGGGCTGTTTCTTCCTCTGTCTCTGGCATTTCCTGGTGATGAAACATGCCACCAAAAATACCAGAAGTAGAAGCATGATAGCAGCCAACGCACTGCCAACAGATGCGCCAGTTTGGGACAGAGAGGCAGCTATGATTGGTTCTTGCATCTCCAGATTCAGGGACTTCATGTTGGTGCCATTTTTTACTTGGTCCCCTTCGTTGTCGTAGATGAGGGAATCATCAAGTGTCAGCTGGCCACTGGGGTCTACCAGGTCCCTTTGATGGCGTCTCAGAGGGGCTGTGAGAGAGCGCTGGACCCGGGGCCCAGAGATGCTGTCAGGGCCAATGATGTAGATCACCTGGAGATACCACTGGTGTCCTGCTTCCACCTGAAGGAGGAGGGAGACAGGGAGACAAAGTGCACCTGTGGTTGCTGCTACAGACCACGTCAAGAAAGAAAACAAAGACAATCCCACCATATGCCTCAATGGAGAAACAGTTTCAAGAAAAGCATTAGCAATGGTTGACATCTTGTTTTATTTCCAAATTGGGGTGATTCACATTCTTTTCTGCTTTCCTATCTATGCATGAAATAGCCTAAGAATTTATTTTTCATGGTGTCTTTAAATAAGTGAATGCTTAGGATTTGTTGGTCTTTATTAAGAACAGTAACATAATATTAGTCACATTTATTCCCAGTGAGCTCAATTGTTTGTTATGCTAATTTGTTATTTATTGATAAACTTCAGCTAAAATGGAGTCATTCACCAAATATTCACTGAATATCTGCTCTGTGTATCATAGATTCTTGACAAAAACTGGCCAAATCTCAACACTTGCATCCTCCTCTGAGAGATTAGGTCATAAAGTATTTTATCTCTCTCTCTCATTTGCCTCCATTGAAATGCTTCATGGCTTTAAAATAACTTCTGAAGAGTGATAATAGTTCTGAAAGCCAAAGTCATGGAATAGTACTTAGAGACAGAAAAAAAAAGTGAAATTTGATCTTGGAAGTTCATGGTTGTTGCTAAAACTTAGGGTATTTTTGCTTGTCTAATACTAGTAAGTCTTGCCATTTTAAATTGCTGTAGCATATTTGTCATCTTGTACAATATTTTCCATATGCTGATGAAAATCAGGTGCCTTAGTATAGAGCCAAAAAGGTAGGCAATTTAACAGAATTTAGGAAAAATTAGAGTATGGTATGGAATCCTGGCGCACACAAAGGCAAGGATTACATGCAAATGAAAGAACTTTGTCATTGCTTTGGTCTATTGGGGAGAGATGGTGAGAGTCTTAGGTGAATAATAAGCTTAAAAACAATAAAAAAGGGCCTGCCAATGAGAACGCTATATATAAAAAGACACTTGATTTTGCTTGAGACATGATGTAATCCTTTTTTCTCCAGATTTAAAGTGGACTTAGTTCTAAGCTTCTGCTTTTTGCACCAAACTCACCTTATAGAGAGCATCCACTTTCAGAGTAAATCCGTCCACTCCTGGCATGCTACTGACCACGTGGAAATCAGGCAACTCAGAAGCAAAGTGGGCCTCGAAAGGCACATCATGGAAGTATTTATCTGTGACCTCCGGCTGACTGCGGTCCTAGCATTTCCAAAAAGACAAACAAGATTTAGAGAGATAGAACCACTGTATTGGTAGGTGCAGTCACTGGGAGGAGAAGAGCAGTCTCCATGGCTGCTTTGGGATAGGTCAGGGGATAAAGGCTCCTTCTTAAGTCATTGTTGCCTGTGGGCACCCACTGTCTTCTTTAAGAAGGGCTCCAGTGGGTGCTGTGATCTCAAACACAGAAATGGGATGGCCTGGACCAATAATTTGCAAGCCATTTGATCTCAGGACCTTAAAGAGCTTTTGTTTATGTTGTTTATATCTATCAATATTTACTATGTTAAAAATAAAACCTGAAAGATTAAAAATATACTTCTATATTAATTCATTCTAATATAATGATGAAAAACTCATTACATGTTAACCTAAGTTAAGTTTTTTTTTCAGTGAAAATATCTCTGTTCACCCTCTTCCCTACCAAGAGAGCTGGCATTGTTTTATGAGTTTTCAAATCACCAAAAAAAACCCCCCAAAACTGGGATTCTCCTAACTGCTTCTGGATTTAATCAGTCATGACATGTTCCTTTAGCTAAAGTATATGACGAAAATCTGGTCTCACACAGCTGCATAGCTGGAAGGGAGGAAGGCATTCATAGCTTTTTCAGATAATTGTGGATATTTTAATCTATGAAATCAATGTGAAATCTGAAATCCTATCAAACAGCCCTGCCTCCCCACTGATGAAAAGACGGGCATGCAAAGGCAGTGTCTCACAGTTCCATGAAAGCAGCTTTGATCTTGAGACCTCCTGGATGAGGGTCAGGGACACTTGGGGTCTCTAGACCACACTTTGAGAAATAGTGGCTTAGAGTTTCCTGTTCTTGGAGCATCAATCACAGTGGGTCTTCTTACCCACCATAACCATCACATTTGGCAATGTGTACTACACTAATATTTAGCTGACCAGAGAGCAAAAAGAATATATATATATATATACACACACACACACACACATATATATATATATATATATACAAACATACATATATATAGAAAACCCCCAAGAGTGGGGCTCTTTCAACAGGATTGGGCTGTGAAAGTCCCCTCTGGCATCTGGGCCCAGTACCAGCCAGGAGCTCACCAGCAGCAGGAACCTGTGCTTCAGGTGTTTGTTGGGCTGAATGCAACCATACTGTGGCCCTTCATTGTAGATTGTCCCTGTAGGATCAAAGAAAGGCACGTAGCCATCCTTGCCAGTACAAAGGTAGACCTTCTCCAGCTGGAGTTTGTATGCAGAATTAAGGTTTTGTTCTGGATTCCAAAGTACTCGGCCATAAAGGATTTGACCTGAAGATACGGAAAGGCATTCGTTAGGTCAGACTTCAAAGAAAAAGAACTGCCAAGGCTAGACAGGATTTAACCCACTTGCTTAGAGCCAAAAGTACCTTTGTATGCATAGTCTATGATTCCATATGTCCCTAAAATACTTATTTATCACTTATTGCTTCTTTATTTCAATAAGCAGGACTTAAGCACTTAAGAAGTGCCACACCCTCAGCTATGCATAGGGGATATAGAGGTGAGATGGAGTTGAGAAAAGAAATAAAAGCAAAGTAATTGATAAAAACAGTTAACATGTCAAACTTGCTGTAACTCTTACAGTATTAACAAATTTACACATGAGGAAACTGAGGCATGAAGTGATTAGTGACTTGATGAAAATCACAAAGTTAGCAAGTGGTGGAGGCAGGCTTCAGAGTCAAGGTACTTGGGCTTCATGTTAACATTATTAACCCTCACAACATCACATGGCCCCCTGCCACAATGAAAGAAGGTACAGTGTGTTAAATGGGCACAAAAGAAAGCACAGAAATTGGCCTGGGGAGAGGTATGGCAGGGTTTAGGACAGATGACAGTTGAGCAGTATGGGATGGGAGGAAGAGGCAGGAGAGAGCATGGGAGGCAAAGGAAAGTCCAGGTACAAAACACCGAATGCAGGATGAGTGTGAGGCCTGGTGTGGATACCTAGCCTATTGTGGCACCAAGTTCTTCATCTATGCTGTTTTATTTAATCCTCCAAAGAGCTGAAGAGATGGGCTCAATTATTATTCCCATTATAAGAACATCTCCAGAGTTCCAATGATGGGAGGAAGGAGGATTTGAGGACAAATCCATCTGACTCCAAATACTCATCCAAAACATTTCCTCTGTGTGTGTGTGTGTGTGTGTGTGTGTGTGTGTGTATGTGTTGGGGTCAGTCAGAGTGACTGGAGGGGAGGATGTGCAGAGGCTGCAGCAGGAGTCTTCATTGTGTTGGGGAGGCCAGGCATGGATGTATAAGGAATAAGAATCCTTACAAGTTTTTAAGCAGGAGAGTAAGATTAATATGACCAGGTTTCACAGAAGAATGAATGGAACAAAGACAAAGAAACTTGAGTCACAGCGACCAGATCAGGGACTATTTTAATGCTTTAGAGAGAGTTAGGTACCTAAAATACAGCTGTGAGGCAAGAGATGAGTTCAAGAAATGTCTAGGGGTCAGATTCCATTCATCTTAATGGCAGAGGGGATGGGGGATGTGGAAGGTAGTGGGTGGCCCTGAGGCGTTTGCAGCCCTGAGAGCATGTGATACAGCCATGGGGCAGCAGAGGGGGTAGAGGATGTTTGGAAGGAGCTAGGTCTAGTCCAAGTCCATTCCTAAATGTCTCTGGTGTCTTTCCAGATCCACATGGGAAATGTAGAACTCGGGGATGTTCGGAGATAAGGCCATGCTTTATGGAATGGCTATGAGGTAGCAGGAGCACAGGGTGTTCAGAGCAAAGCCATCATCTGAGTCCTGGGGATGACCAGAGGCAGCACCGAGATACTCAGACCAGAAGGAGCCAAGCATGGGACCCTGGGACATCAACATGGAAAAGGCAGAGGACAAAGATGCAGAGAGGAAGAGTGAGAAGTGAGTTGACAGGCAAGATGGTGCCTGATGCAAAAAAAACCAAATAGGAAAAAAGCATCACAACTAATGGATTTGGGATCACTGACAAGAGAGAATGGGACAGAATACAGCTTGCAGCCAACAAGTGGATAAAAGAATGACATGAAGAAGGGTCATGAGACAGTGCATGCTTATTGCACATTTAGGAAGACTGTCAGAAAAGGAGGATAAATTGAGCTGAAGTTTGAGGCGAAGACAGACTTGAAGGAAGGCTTATTTCTGTGGTGTGCAGAATTGAATGTATGCAAGTGCTTTAAAAAAGCGTGTGTGTGTGTGTGTGTGTGTGTGTGTGTGTGTTTCGCAGGGTATGAAATCCAATGCACACTAAACGTGTGCTCTGCCACTGAGCCACATCTCCTAACCCTTTGAGTGTGTTTTTAAGATGAAAGAAGAGACTCAGTATAAGATTAAACAAAAAGGCAGAAGGGATACCTGAGTGAAGAAAGACAGACAGTTGATTAATTCATTTATTCCTTCAGCAACTATTTACTGAGCACCTGGGGATGGTACGCCAGTGTGGAAATTTGATATCTGGTCACAGTCTCTCTTCTCATGGAACTTAGTGGTTGAGATAGGCCATAAAGAAATGCATAATAACAATACACTACATTATATAATATTTATAAATGTGATGAGAACTGTATATAATGAACAACATTCTGCCAAAGTGAAAAACATAGAGGCCTATGAATGCCTGTCTGGGGAAGCCAGGGCAAGCTCTTTGTTGGGAAGAGCTAGCCTTTGGGAAAGCCCAAGGAAGCACATTTAATGGTGCAAGGGGCCAAGGTACCATTTTTAGCAGAGAAAGTATATATGGCTAGCATCCTGTGAGGCTGGGAGCAGTAGGAAGGAACTGAGAGATGAAGAAACTTAATTAGACTGTGTTAGAGCCAGACTGGAAACACCACCCTTTCACCACCTGGAAAAGTGATGGCAAACCTTTCAGAGACAAGTGCCCGAACTGCAACCCAAAATCCACTTATTGATTGCAAAGTACCAACAAAACAATTAAACATGAATACTGAGGTTTTAATTTAGAAAAAAGAAACAGCTCATACATTAACATCTTTTGTCTTAAAAGAATAAATGACAGGTGTAACATAGGTTCACCACCACTGACCTAGACCATTGGTTTTACATGGTACTATGCTGCCAACCATTATGGTACCAGGAATGTGGTGCTATTTCATAACAAGAAGGAAGAGTATGTGCCTATTCCTTGATTCAGCCTTGGCCCATGGATCTGCCCTGGGGAACCTTCACTGGGGAGCTGAGATGCCAGTCTAGCGACCGATCAGAGATGGTCTCACAGCCAGGCAGAGCCTCTTTCTGCAGGTGGAGGAAGCAACTCACCCTTTGAAAAGGCCCCTTTGTAATCCATTTCCGCCAGAGACATATCGGATGTGTTGGGATCCATTAGGAACACCTTCTCGTTGTTGCAGAGCTGAAACTCGGTATTGAGTGAGTACACCACGGGCACAGGACGGTTGGTCTGCTGAAACGCGATGGGAATCAGGAATCTAATGCAAGAGGAATGAGGGCTGTTTCAGAGTAGGCTCGCCTTGCACATGCCAATGAGCTGCCCTCCCTGCCCTGCCCTTCTCAGGACTGACTATGAACACAGCTTTGTGGTCAGCGCAAGATATTTACTAAATAACAAGAGCTGGGCATGATAGGCCCCACCTGTAATGTAATCCCTGAACTCAGGAGGCTGAGGCAGGAGTATCACGAGTATGAGGCCAGCCTGGGTCACATAATGAGTTTAAAGCTGGACTACAGAGCAAATAGATATATGTGGGCAAGGGACTGTATTTTGCCTTTATAAGGTTTATCTGCTTTTTAGAACAGGAACAACTGAATGAGTCCTCGGAACACTTTGGTATTCAGCTTTTTCACCCTTTCCTTCTGAGGGCACCCAGAATTGCTCTTTGGTTGCTAAAGGGCTCCTTGCCATGGGGACTTCATATGCTCTAAGAGTCTGACTCTTCTAACCTGACCAATACTTATTTTATGTCACACTTTTCAGGACATTGCTAGGAGATGCCCTCTTGCCCTGCCCCTTCCTGCCCCCTCCCCTCTTCCTCAGTCCCATTTCTGCTTCCTCTGGCAGCTAAGGGCCCCTCAAGGCTCAGGCCCCACTCTTTTCCTCTGATAAATGAGTGCATGTGTCATCTCAAAGGTAAGGAGGCCGTGTTTAACTTTCTACTCCAGATTTTTCTTCTGAGGCAGAAACACATATCTGTTGTCAACTGATCACTCAAAGCCGTGGCACCTCAAACTCAATGCACTTTCCTCACAAATTTGATCTTTTTTCTCCTGTTTCCATTCCAGTGAGGAGCCACACACGAGGGGGCCCCCTTGCTGGTCCTGATGGGATCCCTCTTTCTCTTCTCATTTCTTCTATACGATATGATTGGTGAGCCAGTGTCATTTTTAAAAAATTCAGATTCGGTTAAGATTTTTCAGTAGTTCCCCATAGCCCTGAGGGTGAAGACCAACATTTTTTACATGACTTAGGAACCTTTTGCCTATTTCTCCCAGCCTCATCTCCTATACTATCTTTCTCCTTCCTGCTGGGATTTGCCCTTTCTGAGCTTCTTCTGGTCTATTGATTGGCTCTCTATTCCATGATTTCTTTTTTTTTTGGTACTGGGGGTCGAACTCAGGACGTTGCACTTGTAAGGCAGGTGGCGGCGCTGCTGAGCTAAACCCCTGGCCCTCTATTCCATGATTTCTGTGGCCTCATGACTCAGTTTTTAAAATTTAAAAAAAAATTTGTTAGTCCATGTTTGTAGTACATAGTACATTTCTTGTATGGAGTCAGTACATATACATAACACATCTTAATTGTTTTCCACCCCTCTCCCTCCCTCCATCTCTGGATCCCCTTCCCATTTGAGAAAGAGCTCTCTCCTTCCTACTATCTATCTTCTATTTTGTTCTTTATTAATATTCTGGGTTTCTCATATAAGAGAAACCGTGTGATATTTAAGTTTGTGTGTCTGATTTATTTCACTTAACATTGTTCCACAAATAATCTGTAAGCATTTGCTACACAACGGACACTATGCTATTAAATGGGAATTCATCTGTGGACAAGACAGAAAAACACATGTCCATAGGGAGTTAGGCTCTAATGAAGAGATAATAAAAACAGTTCAAAATAATACAGTAGGCTATAAAGTAACAGGTGATAAGGACAAAAATCAGAAGAGAAGGGGAATGCTTGGGAGAGGTTCAGGTGGAAATCCTAAATAATGTGGTCATGGATTAGTACAGCCATTGTCGAAAACGGTATGGTGGCTCCTCAAAAATTAAAAATAGAACTATCACATGGCCATATATATATCCAAGGGGATGAAATCAGCACCTCAAAGAAGTATCTGCACTCCATGCTTGTTGTTGCATTGTTCACAATGGCCAAGATGTGGAAATAACTGAAGTGATCATCATCACTTGAATGGATGAATGGATAAAAAATGTGGTATGCACTACACACACAGTGGAAGACTATTCAACACTAAAAAGATGACACTGCAATTTGCCACCACATGGATGAATCTGGAGGACATTATCTATGTGAAATAAACCAGACATGGCAAAGCACTGCATGGTCACCCTTACACATGGAATCTAAAACAAATGCATAGAAACAAAGAGTACAGGGTTGGGGATGTGGCTCAGTGGCGCCACACCTGCCTGGCAAGTGCAAGGTCCTGAGTTCAATCCCTGGCACTGCAAAAAAACAAAAACAAAAAAACAAAAACAAAAACTAAAAAACCCCAAAAAACAGTACAGTGGTAACCAGGGCAGACAAGAAAGGGACACAGTGAGATGTCAGCCAAAGGATGCAAAGTGGCAGTGACATAGGATGGGTTCGTAAAGCATCACAACCACAGTTAATGATTTTGTGTTATATACTGAAATTTACTTAAGATTTCAAGTGCTCTTATCACCAAAAAAAGTAACTAGGTGAGGGGACAAACATGTTTATTTGCTTGATTATAGTCATTGTTTCACTCTTTATACGAATAGCAAAGCATCATGCTGTTACATCTTAAATATGTGTGATAAAAATAAAGGAAGGAAGGAGGGAAGGAATTTCTCCTGCTCTGCTGTGGCATGAAAACAACCACAGGCAACACTGAACCCAATGTGTGTGGTTTATTCCAAAGTAAAACTTTATTTACAGAAGCAGACAGTGAGGAGTTGTCCTCTGAACTGTAGCTAGCTTGCTGATCCCTGACCTGGATGGTTGGCATAGGAAGGTGTGTGGTGGAGAAAGACCTGCTAACTCTGAACACGCTAAATCTGAAGGGCTGAGTAGTCACCTTGATGTACAAGGGTCAAGTTGCAAAGGGGGCCTGGGGCTCACTTGCACTTATAGCCTCAAGCATGGATGACTTAGGAAATCACCAAAGCAAGTGAGCAGTAATAGAGAAGAGTTAGATGCCTGAAGAGGGCATTCCAAATTCAGACTATGCAAAAAAGGAGCCTGCAAACAAACAGAGGAAGAGCCAAGGAGGTGGGAGAGAAACCTGCAGCTGAGTGGCTCACCGGGCTGGAAAAGGAAACTGAGGCTCAGCCCTAGGATCTAGTTACATGCAGTTGTTGCTGACCCCAAGAAGGGCAAGCTAGGTTGAAGCACATCAGCTGAAGCCTGACTGGAATTGGTTTAAAAGCGAATGGGCAGAGCCTGTAATTTCAGCACTCTGGGAGGCTGAAGTTCGAGCTTAGCTTAGGCAACTCTGTAACTTAGCGAGACCCTGTTTCAAAATAAAAAAAATTAAAGGTAGCGGGTGAGGAATGGGGATGTAGCTCAGTGCAAAGGCTCTGGGTTCAGTCTCTAGTACTGCAAAAGAAAATGATGGGCAGAGATAAACTGGAAATTGTGAACAGAGACGACTCTTTAGAGGCTTATTAAAATAAAAGAAAGAAGAAAAACTAGAGTTGAGAGAGGAATGGAGTGTCAAGTGAGGATTTTTTATTTGAAAGATGAAAGAAGTTACAACTTGTTTGGGGGCTGACTAAAGCCATTCATAGAGGTGGAAGAGCAGCTTGTGAGGTGCTCTTTATAAATCTGACAAGAGGGCAGTGGGTTCTGTGCAGAGTGCTCACTGCCCAAGCAGGAGCACCGGAGGGAGACACATGGCGGGGCTTGGGTGAGGTCTCTCCTGTGTCCTCCATGGATCAGGGCACAAGGTAATCAGCAAGTGTGAGGGCAGGAGAGATGGAACAAGCTTTTGGTAAGAGTGATGGAGAGGCCTACGGAACCCTGTATGTACTTTGCTTGGAGGCCCTAAGGGTGAATCTGAGATCAGTGACACCAAATTTAAGGTTTTCCATCTCTGACCTTGCTGAATATTCTTCAGAACACTCCTCTTCTGACTATCCTTTCCCTAGATAACTATAGCACTTTCCCTCCTTATCTGACCTTCCAGGTAAGCTAAGATCCCTTCTCATCTGTTCTCATTATCCTCTGCATTTTCAAAAACAGCGTCCCTTGTGGCTGGAAATCTTATTTAAATGTGTGACCCACTATCAGACTGAAGTCTGCTTCACTCACTACAGAGTCCACGGTCCCTGTCTGTCTGCTCACCATTACAGACCTGACCCTATCCCAGTTCCTGACACATCTCTGTCACAGAATAATGAACAGGTGATCATTTCCAGCTTTTCCAACAAAGGTCACCTAATGGGCTTGGCCGTCTGTTGAAGGTTTCCTAGTGGGTGGATTTGAGAGAGTTCAGGTGTAGGAGGAACTGTGGGCCCACACAAGCCAGAGCTGACCCCACTTTAAGAGCTTCAATATCACCATTAGTTGCATTAAAAACCAATTCACCTAACACAGGGAAAAAGATTTTTCTTGTTGATATTTACATTGCCAGAATCCGCCACAGTGCAGGGCACTAAGATACAATGAAATAAATAATAGACTGTGGAGATTACTTTTTAAAAAAAAATTTTTTTTTTTGTACCAGGGATTGAATTTAGGACTTTGCACTTTTTTTTTTGTCCCGGGGATCAAACTCGGGACCTTGTGCTTGTGAGACAGGCATGGTGGCACTGAGCTAAATCCCTGGCTCAACCTGAAATTATCAGTAACAATGATGTCATAATGTGTGACAGACCTCACAAAAAAGTCACAACGTGAGACAAACTTCTTTTCAGTTAAGTCTGCATTCCTGTGTCTGCCTGGATTTTTTGTGCACTGTCGTGCTATTGTACAGCTAGGGAACCTTATAAAGGATTGAAAGCAAGCTGAGGCCTAGGTGAAAGTTACCCTGGGAATAACGGGGAACCTATGAGTAATGATCTCCTTGATACAAGACAAGAATCTCAGTGTCCTCAACAACACCCTCCTGCAGCAGCCTCCTCAAACTCAGAGCACTGGGCCTGGAGATGGGGTTTGTGTCTTTCCTGTCCTTTTTCACCCTAGTACCCACCTTAGAGAAACTCTTCTTACACATGTGCACCAAGAAATTATTTATATACATATTGTAACATGTATAATATTACTTATAATAGAGAGAATCTGGACTCATAAGCTAAACAGAATGCTCAAATAAACGGTAGACTATTCTTACACTGAATAACTTAAATGTACTAAACCATAAACTACAGCTACATAAATCAACACAAGGAATCAAAAATGATCCACTGAATTAAAGAAAAAAAAGCAGCAGAGAGAATTCACAAAGTATAAAACTTTTTTTTTTTTTGAGACAGGGTCTCACTGTGTCATTCAGACTGGGCTTGAACTCACTTGTAGCCCAGGCTGGCCTCAAACTCATAGTGATCCTTCTGCCTCACTTTCCCAAGTGCTGGGATTATAGGTATGTGGCACCATGCCTAGTTTAGAGTATGAAACTTTTATACAGAATTCAAAAACATACAAAACCATTAGAAATAAACATCAAATAAAATCATAAACTGAAACCATGGGTTATAAATACAAATATCAAGTTAATGGTCAGCTTAGAGGGGAGAAAGAAAGAACAACTGGATGGAGACATTGAGAGTATTTAAAAAGTACTAGGGGCCCGGGGATTTAGCTCAGTGGTTTTGCAGCCTGCTGCGCAAGTGTAAGGAACCGAGTTTGATCCCTGGTACCAAAAAAAAAATACTAGGATGTTCAATTTCTTTCTTCTTTTTGGCAATACTGGAGATAGAACCCCAGGCTTTCACACTGAGATTTTTATTTTTATTTTTGTTTTGAGATAGGATCTTGCTAAGTCACTAAGTTGCCCAGGTTGGCCTTGAACTTGTGACCCCTCACCTCAGCCTCCCGGAGTGCTGGAATTGTAGGCATGTGCTAGCACATTCAGCATAGAAGTTTCTGTTTCTTGAGGCAGGTGGTGAATACACATCATGTGCTTATTTTATATATTCACTTTTATATCGTCTGAATATCTTATACTTTCCATAATTAAAAAAATTTAATAAACAGCTAACAATTCCTTAGCGATATACCTAATGAGATCACTTGCCTCCCATTCTTTCTTACTGCAGCCAACTCCTGTGTTCCCAGTCCCCTTGCCTCCCTGACTTTGGTGCTCTCTAGCATTGTTCCTGCCATCAGTCATGGCGCTCTCCTCATCCACATGGACACCATCCACACCTTCACCTCTTGGCTCCTCAACTCCTCCCCTGCGAAGAGTTTGCTCTCCCCCAAATGCAGCCACCACCTCCTCATCTTCCTACTATGTACCAGTACCCCAGTCTCATTTTCCAACACCTCACTGTCCACCAACTCCTCTCTTTGTTTATCCCCATTAATTCTCCAAGCACAGAAGGATGCAGAGAGCTGGAACACTTACACACTCGTGGTGAGAATCACACACAATTACCCATTTATAAATACTTAGGAAAGCAGCCTGTACGGATCAGCCATTCCATTCCTATATATTTACATAAGAAAATAGAAAACATGTCCATGTAAGACTTAGGTAAGTAAGTTCCTAGTGGCTTATGCACTGTTGCTCAAACCTGGAAACAACCCAAGTGTCCATCAACTGACAAACTGATGAATTGTATTATTTCTACACTAGGAAATACAACTCAGCAACAATGGGAACAAACTACTGACATGGTAACTCTAACGGATCCAAATCATCATATGTGAAACAAGCCAGAGAAAAAGAACTCATCATTTCTATAAAGCCCTAGAAAATGCGAACTCACCCACAGTGGTGAGTGCCTGGGAAGGGTGTGATCAGAGGGTGAGAAAACTTGTGGAGGAAATGGATGTGTTCATTATCTTGACTGTGGTGGTATTTCATGCATATGTTAATATTTATCAAATACATACTTTAGATATGTGCAGTTATTTAATGTCAGTGATATGGCAATTTAAAATTCAGCTGGGCTCCAGCCCTGCCTAACCCAGCACTGCCTTCACCCTTGGGTACACTCACTTCTGTCCTCTCCCCAAAACGACTGCTTACTTCTTCCTCTTTTCTCCAACCGCAGCATCCTAACTCTTAGCGGACACCTGGCTTTTTATATTATAGAGAAACCAGATTTCATCAGACACCTGCTTACCCAGCCTCTCCTCATTCTCCAAATTCTCTTCTCTCCCCTCCCAAGAGTACACAGGCCCCACCTGCCTTCCTCCTCCAGCAAGTGACTGCTCCAGGGCCCAAGCCCTCTCCTTGTGACAGGGTCTGTCCCAGTATCCTACCCAAGGACTTTGCTCTGCGAAAGCTCCCTCTGTCCCCTGAACCATCAAATTGCCCCTCTATCAAATTATTTCTATCAGCATACAAGTGTCCTGAAATATTTTCCACCTAAAACACATCTGTTTCCAGTTCCTGTCTCATTTCTCTGATGGCCCTTAGCAAAGCTCCTTAAGCACTGCTTATCCCTGCAGGCTCTGCTTTCTCCTCTCTCTCCTGTGAGTCCCCTCCAACCAGGCTGGAAGACCCTTCAGTCACCAGTGACCTCAGTACTGTCAAATCCAATGGCCAATTCCCAGGCTTTTAATTTAAAAGTCACACTTCAAATAGTCTTCTATTTGAAACTGTCTGCAGCATCTTCTCTGAGCATTGTTTTGTCTGTACTCTACTTTAGCTCTGGGAAAGGTGACCTTGGCCTATAAAGTGCCTGGTAGCCCAGGTTACCTTTAATGCATGATTCTAATCTGCTGCTGCAATACCAATGCCTAGGCTGAGCACATAAAAACAGTTGAGTGGACACTGATCAGATGACTGAACATGTGACACCACACAGCCTCGGGTGGGAGGTGGGTATGCGCTGATGTACAGCTGGTTCTCACTGTTCTCAGTGGTTAGGCTCAGTGAAGTCTCTGCAAAGCTGAGTTAGTGGATAATGAATCACTGCTCCTAGGAGAAATACACAGCTAGGTTTCTACGAGCTTCTGGTCACAACATTTTCATCAATCGATCAATGCATAACCTTGTTTTAGGTATGTTCCTGTTTAAAGACCTCTTATTTCAGATATTGTTGATTCATTAGCATGGAACTGGTGACCAGTAGCACAAGCTCCATGCAGTCTTCCTGTGCTCAGGAACCCCTGAAGCCACTGGACATTGTGCTGAAGACCACTTTACACAGTGGACTCATGAAGACAGTGCTTGCCTGGGGGATGAGGCCTGAATCATGAGGGTGAGCACTGCCCTGCTCCATCGCAGCTGGCAATGTGTGCCAGAAGATTAGATCTTTTTTGCCACTCTATGCATGTCAGTGAATGACTGTGAAAGCACCCTGGGTACTGATTTTTGGGGTGAAAGGCAAACTTTAATGATCACCATAATTCACATTAAGGAACCTGCCAATGCCAAGGCCTGACTGAACTTGCCTACCTCTCTGGCGCATGGGCGGTGCAGGCCAAGGGCTTCTCTCCAGGATCAGTCCAGGACTGGGTGGGCTGCGCAGTGCACGGGATCAGGTAGATGGTGTATTCCCCCGAGTAGTCCTTCCTGTAACAGGAGAGCAGACTGTGGTCACAGGGGACAGATGGGACGAGATCGCATTCCCCCGGCATGCGTGCCCTGCGTCCCCACACTGTACAAGTCAGCTGATACTGTTTTACCCAGAGGAAAACAGCCCACTTCCACATGCTCAAGTCCTTTTCCTGTGGAAATCTGAGAAAGGCACACTGTTTATGACAACCTTGAAGGCTGGGCTGGTGACAAACCAGACCCAGCTATTTCCTGTAGATTGCACTTGAGGTGTCTGACAGTGAGGCTGGTGTTTCTTGCTGAAGGACACCATGTCCAATGGATTCTCAAACCCAGGAGCCTGGTTGTGCCTGTACTGAGTGTGGATTCTATAGAGGAGGTGGTAGACACCCCAGTGCTCCACTCCCCAGCCCCAGGGGAGCAGCACCCCAAGGAGTGCCCCACCCCTTACCCCTTCACCAGTGCTCTGCTTTAGGTCCCTTCCCACATGCTGTGCTTCTCCCTTAGGAGACTGAAGGACACTGTTACTCCTCATTGGGCACCTCCCAGTTGGGTGACTCTCTGGGTCCTGACACTGAAGGTATGAGGCTTTGCACTTGCCCACTTCCTCTCCCACACTTGTATTTAGGCTGCACCCCACTCAACAGGTTGCCCGGAAGGCAGCCAAGCATCCAGAAACTTAGGGGAGATTCTTCATGGGGCTTCTGAAGCCACATCCATAGAATGAAACCCATTTGGCTGTGAATCTTAATCATAATAGAGAGTGACCTGCAAACATGTATAACATTTGCTGCGTTCATTTTTTGACCACTGTTTCGTATTTTTCTGTTATTAGTAAAGTGACAGTAAGGACTTTGTAGAAAAAGTACTGGAAAAACTTTTATGTCACATCTTGGATCATTTTAATGGAATGACACAAGCTGGAAATTGGGAGGAAGCCAAACAATGGCTTTGGTTGCCACTGCTGTGGTCATGTTACTTTAGACAAACCACACAAACGTTTGGGGACATTTCTAAATTCCTTCCTAGTCTTATCCACGGTTTTCCTCTGTGATCCTTGTCTTCCTCCAAAGCTTGGAGCAACAGGAAATGAGACCTATAGGTTGACACCTATAATTCAAACAGTAACCCTTAATGATAGAAACATTAATTAGAACAATCCATGCTTGGTCCTTGCTTTCAGAAGGACAGGAAGTTCATGTTGCTCCTCTGCTCAATCCCTACAGAAACTCTCCTTGCAACAGAGTGAAACCCAGCATGAAACCCCTGGCTTTCCAGACCCACACAGTGATCCTGTTTCCCTTCTGAGATCTGGAACCTCACTGTCCACCACCCCTTCTTTGCTCTCTCCCCTCAAACCACTATGGCCTCCTTCTTATTCCCTGATCCTCCAGAAATGCTGTTATCTTAAGAACTTTGCCAGGAACCTGGTTCCCCAGATACCTTCCCAGCCAACTTCCTCTCCTCGTCAAGTCTTTGCTCCAGAGGCCCACTGGGAGTATTCTAATTAAAATCATAATGTCCCCCCATTTCTGGTCCTTACCTTGCTCTATACTTTATCATTCCCTACCACATATCATCTTTGGATATATATTATATGGTCATGTGTCACACATGTTTTGAAAAATATATTTCAAATATATTTACCCTTGGCTATTTCATTGTTGTGTACTTACACCAACTACAATGGCAAGGATATCACTACATGGTGTAACCTCATGAGACCATTGCTGCCCATATCCAGTCCATTGTTAACTGAAATGTCATCATATGGCAAGAGACTGTACTTTGCTTATTGATTATGTCTTCTGTTTTTGTGTGTTCTTATTTTACTGTAAATTCTACATTCAGGAATCTTTATTTTGTTGAACAAATAAACCAAGGACAAACTGTATAGTCTTCTAAGCCCTCAGTCCTATTTTCCTCCATCCTTTAATACTATTTAGGTCATTTTCTTCTCTAACTTTGCAGATGTCAAACATGGCTGAGATACAAGACTTTAATCCTGTAGTTTTCTCACTGCCTTCCTAAAAACTAAACATTTCTCCTATCACAACATGGAGCACAAGCCACCCCTCCTCTCCTTGGAAGCCTGTGCAGGTCCCCAGCTTCTGCTGGGGTCTCTGCTCCCTGACAGCTAAGGTCTTGATGCTCTGTACCCCTCAAGGTGTACTTGGCATTGAATTCTAGGTGGTGCTGTCCATTTTGCCACTTATTTATGTATTTTTATCTCCTTGTCTCAAAGGTAAGCTCCTAAAGGATGTTTATTCAGGACCTGTCATGTGCTAAAATCTGCAGTGGCATTTAAGATGAACTAGATAAGCCTTCTTCCCTGGGGAAGCTTACAACCTGGTGAAAAACTGGGAGCAGCAAATGGACCATGACAGGATAATAAGTAGTGTGATAGTGGGAGTAGGAGCAGGAGCAGGGAGCTGGCAGTACTGCATAGGAATCAGGAAAGTTGGCCCAGAGGGGACAATATTTGTGTTGGTCTTACAGGAAATAGAGCTTTGTAGGAGGAAAAGAGCAGGGAGGGCAGAGAGAAGAGCAAAGCCACAGAGGTAGAGACAGGCTGGTGCGTTCAGGATCAGCGAGATACAGAATGTGTTAGAAGGTGGGTTTGAGGCGAGGCTAAGCGGATGGCCAGGCCTTGTGTGCTACATGCTGATGTGAACTTCACCCAGCAAAGAGGAGTCCACAGGGGACTTAAAGGAGGATAGCTCCTTGCCTACAAACCGGGACAAAGTACCTGAATAAACTCATGAGGCTCTAGGAAGAGCAGTCTAAAGACTACAACATGTGGTCCTTATTTACACTTTCAGTTTCTCACAGCAGAGAAACTATTCGGTATTTACACATGTGTGTCCTATTTATTTCACTTAAAAGTATTGCCTCAATGTGCATCCACTTAGCTATAAATGTCTGGGCAAGGGTGAAAAATAAGAACCAAGAGAGACTATGTAAAGGTGCAAATTTCCAATGATGAATGTCATTATGTTGTATATCTAAAATGTACCAATGATTAGAATGAATAATCGATAATGTAAAATAAGAAGAAAAGGTCCAAAGGGGTAGGGGTAGTGGGAGGGGCAGGGGAAAGGAAAGAAGGGAAAGGAAAAATGCTGAGAAATGGAAAAAATGGAAATAAAGTCTTTGTAAATAGGGAAGGGTGGAGGGCGTGAAGGGAGGGCTAGGAATGGGGAAAAAATAAGAACCAAGATGCATTATGTAAAGGTACAATTCCCAATGAGAAATGTAATTGTGTTGTATACCTACAATGTAACGAATAAAAGAATTTAATTAAAAAAAAAGACTACAACATGTGGATTTCAAAGGAATTGCTATACAATAAAAACACCTGATGTAAGATCAAAAATGGAAAGACTCTTTCTGAAAATGACTCTAGACAATCTGATATTCTTAATTATAAAAATGGAACAAGATTCTCATGCTAAATATAGCTCTTAATTTTCATGACCTATAAAATAGGGAAAAATATGTACGATAGATTTCTGCTTGTTCCTTTATTCTTTGCATGCTAATTTTAATTGGTTTTTTTCCATTACTGCCTTTTTAAAATGTGATAATCTACTGTATTCATCCACTTCTTTTTTTACCTGTACACTGAGTGTGGGAGAGGAATAATCTTGCTACTACTTACCTACCTATTGGTCACTGAAACATCAGGGGTGGCATCTGAATCTAACCACTGGTGATCTTAGACTTTGTAGTCATCACAGTAATTGAAATGAAATTTCTTTTTCCTACTCAGGTTTCAGTTGGACACATTTTACATTTTCCAGCATCTTGTAGGTAGATGTGCCACGTGACCAAGCGCTAGTTAAGGGGTTCAGGTGGAAGAGATGTGTGTACTTTCTGGTATTTCCCTTGGAATAAGCATGACCACTTCCTGGTTTGTATGTCAAAAATTGAAAAGAGGGAAAGGAAAAACTATGAGAAAAGAAAAAAAAATGGAAATGAAATCTATGTAAATAGGGAAGGGTGGAGGGGGTGAAGGGCACAGAGATAATGGGGGAAAAAATAAGAACCAAGATAAATCATGTACAGGTACAAACACCCAATGATAAATGTAAATGAATTGTATACCTAAAGTGTACCAATAAAATAAAAAAAATAAGATTTGATTAGGCAGAAAAAAAAATTTATCTGGGCTAAATTTGTTTCCTTCTCTATTTGCTAGAAGCTCATATCTACCCATGCATCTTTTAGAACAGAAAGTCAGACTTCAAAGAAAAAACTTCTATGTCCCGCGCTTCGGAAAGAAATTGAAAACCTTTCAGATCACCCCCCTGGAAGCATCCATCACTGTATTTACCTATTATAAGAGCTTGTGGCTCTCCAGAGTTGATATGGAGAATCAAATGTCTGAGCACTCCACAATAGCTGCAGGTCAAATTCAATCCCTCCTAGGTGATCTGGAGTCAGTATGAAAGATTTCACATCGGGGAGAGTGTGGTGCTCCATCACAAACTGTCCTGTTTCACAGGGAAACACATGCACTTCTTTGTGAGTTTTATTGTACTTGTACAATAAAGCCTAATAACTGCCTTATGTTCTTCTATCAAATAACTGTGGCTCCACGCTGCTGCCCTTTTGAGTGTATTCCACATTGTTCAGGACTGCAAGGCATCTCACCCCAGCCTGTACTGTACCTGTGCCGGCCACGATGGTCATACAATGTATGTAGAAACAGTGTGAATATGCCTTGTGGAATTGATGCTCATCTTATACACAATAACAGGGGCCTTTCCATAACAATGAAAATTCACTCTATGTAGCTTTGAATTCCAGCCAACATGTTTCTTGGGCATGAAAAGATTGGTAGTTTATAAATAGAAATACTACTGTTGGATAAAAAAATCGCATGTTACCTAGACACCTCCACTCTTTAAAATTTAAGTGACACTGCTGTGGATAAATAAAAGTAGGCAGACGATAAAACAACAAAAATATGTAAAGTTTGATTGGATCCACCTTCCTTTTATACATATGGATAAAATAAACACAAAAACAAGTGGAAAAGACATTTGAGGGTTAATAGAGGAAATATACACAGGGACTGGTTATTACTGAATCAGTGTCAACTATGTTGGATGTGAAAATTATGTTGCCATTGTGTGAGAAAATATCTTTATTCTTAGAGATGTCTACTGAAGGCTAGCTTGACATGAGGACAACTTGTTTTGAAATGATGTGACCAAAACGCAGGTATACATGTGTGCATGTGTTTTCATACTTTGTAAAACAAGATGTTACCAACTGCTGAGTTAAGGTTTTGTTGTTCTATTTGTTTAGCTTCTCTGTGTTTTTTTTTTTTTTTTTTGGTACCAGGGATCGAACTCGGGTCCTTGCACTTGCGAGGCAGGCGCCAGAACCACTGAGCTAAAACCCCAGCCCAGCTTCTCTGTGTGTTTAAATGTTTCTTATCACACTGACATTACCTCTGAATTTGGCATGGGTCTTGAATTCAACGACAAGCCGGCCATCCTCTCGAATATAGATTCTTATTATCTGAAGCCTCGCTGAGAGCACACTGTCTGTCTGGATCCCTGGACAGGCAACCATACACAAAACACCCAAGTTAAGGCACAGAGAAGGCATCCCCGGATATCAGCCTATGAGGAAGTTGTTCCAGGGACATCTCTGAACAGAGCTGCACACTTAAGTGAATGTGATTTAAGAGAAAATGTATATATTCACATGAATATACACTCTATAGAGACACTTGCCAGTTAAAACAGCATGGCAGCTCATTCCACTTATTTTTAATAGTTCTATTGTGCCTGACATAGACTCTTCATGCATGTAGGTACCACTTAGTCCAGATCTAGGATTTAGCCTGTATCTCTGGAAATAACGGATCTGAAACTTTTTACTGTTACATTTTACACCAACATGTGGTTGGAGGGCATGTACTTTATACTGCATTTTCTTTTCCTTTGCATATTTAAATGTTTTTGTTACGGGGGTTTGAACTCAGGACTTTGTGCTTGCGAGGTAGGTGTGGAATCCTTTGCATATTTACTAGACCCGTAAGTCCTGATGGCTACATTTAGTGCTCAAACCAATGGAGAATTAAAGGGAAGCTTATAGGGAGGTGGGTTGTATCAGTATGGTATACTAATATGGTAATATGGTAAGCAATGGGATGAGAAAACTGCTTTCAATAAAGGAAGTTGCAGCCATGATGCCCAAGGGGTTCAGAATGATAAAAAATAAAGGGTAATCAAAGGAGAAAAATAAAGTCAAGTGAAACAAAACAAAAGACCAAAGTTCAAGGAATTATTGACCCAGGCAGGAATACACAAAGCTATTTTCCCATAAGAAATATAAAGCAAATAAAAGACTTGAGCTTTGTTCATTTAACAGAAGAAAGGATACTAGAAATTACTAGAAATGAAGTTACTAGAAGTTACTAGAAATGAAGTCCTCTCTGAAGGAAACTGCCTCAGATACAGTGTCTCACTCCTGGAGAGGGAGGGGTGGGGGCAGAAGGGAGGTCAGGAGAAGTGGGCTTGGGGTCATATTGTTCTAGAGGACCCTGGAAATGGGAAAACAAACAAAAGATCAACAAAAACAAGTAAGCCCACTGGAGTGAGTGGAAGAGAGAACCTGGGAGTTTAGAAGACCTTCCATGGTAGTAGTGGGAGAAAGCTGGTGAGGGAAGACACTGAATGGGAGGGAAGGGTGCACTCTCCGCTGAGGGGCTCCCTCAAACTCACCTCCCCTCAAAAGAGGACAGTAACAGGGCCAAGTCCGAAGAGATGATCATTTAAAAAATTTAGCATTGTCCCAGTCAGGGTTCAATAAATGTTTGTTGAACAAATGAAAAAAAAAAAATCAGCATTGTAAAAATCTCTACCTTTGAAACTCAACAGAAGAGTCAACTATGCCAAGTGAACAAAGCGGACCACTTGACATAACTATCAAGCTGAGTGTTCCTGGCATATTTTCCTATTTCCATGTATATAATTTGGAGATTGTTTTCCTTCTTAAACAAGATGAACCACACCATTTTCAACAGTAGTCACTGGGCATGCTCATACTCCAAAAGCACACACACTCTCTGAGTCACTGCTGGACTGTCTTGAACCTCAAGGTTACAGACCACCCTCTACTCTGCTGCCTCAGCTGTCTGCCTTCCAGTATCAGCAGACAGAGGCAGTGCTCCTGCACAGGAACCACAGCTCTGAACTTTCCCACATGTGAGCTGGCCTTCCTCTGGCTTCCGCAGGACAACAGGAAGGCAGCTGCTGCTCAAAGTCACCACTTCTTGATGTGTTGGGCCAGAGCAGTGGGGATGCCAGGGCATACCTGTCCTCCAGAGCACTGTGTCATAGAAGAAGGAGAACTCCATCTCTGTGTGGTGCTCCAGGGAGGCCCAGCCGCGGGGAGCAGTCACATAGATGTAGGACACATAGAGCGGCACGTGCACTGTCAAGAACGACTGAGCAGAGTCCCTCACCTGCCAAAGAAACACAAATGCTGACTTTCTGCCAGGATGCGGGGGCATCTGGTCACCACTACACGTCCAATTTTCACTCACTCAGCCGCTCACCTATTCAGTAATTACTAACCAAGTCCCCCGTGATACTTTGGAAATGATTTTGAAAAAGCAGCACATCGCATTTCCAAGAGAATGCTTCTTTCTCAGGGAGTTCCATTACTACTGTTAATTTGGGTCAATAATATTTATGGTGTACTCGATGAACAAAAAGCAGATGGAAAGATAAAATACTGTGCTAGTTGCAGCTTTCATGGTGAGGCTGACTACATATGTATGTGAGTGGGGGAGTTACTTTATTCATTTTTAAAAAATGCTTTTTGCATTCCCTTCTTTAAATATATACATAAATATAACACAAAGCTAACTTTTAAAATTTGAAACAATTTTATTTTGTCATTGGCTAAATATCATAACATATTATGGGACTTGTGTTTTTCTTTGGCTTGACTGTACATTGTAAGGTGTTTCTACTGGTAATTAAGGACTTAAAACATCATGACTGGGGGTGTACTTCAGGGGTAGAGTGCCTGCTTAGCACTTAGTACTTAGAACTTGGCACAATCCTCAGGATGATAAAAAAAAATACACGTTTAAACTTAATTTTTCTAAACTTTTTTTTTTGAGGTAGGGTCTTGCTAAGGTATTCAGGCTGGCCTTGAACTTGTGACCCTCTTATTCCAGCTTCCCAAGTTGCAGAGTTTAGAGGCATGCACCACACCCAGGACTTAAAGTATTTTTCATATTAAAAATTGCTGGTGATTTAGAATTTGCTGCTAATTTTTTCAAAGGACTACTACTTCCATATTCATTTAAACATCTCTTTTTGACATGCCTTGCTCTATTTTCTTTAGAAAACTTCCAAATTTTATCTGGACCTCACATCATGTCTGCCCCATAACATAGGTTTTACTAAATATACCTGCCTCAACCTCTCAATTGTTGATATTAGATCTGCAACAATCATCTAGTTGATTAGCAAAATTACTTTTCTTTTCATTGTTTATTTTCCTTTAGCCCTCATAACGTTACTTATTAATCTTTAAAAAGAACAGAAACCCTGACAAATATTTACCACATACCTATTAAATGCCAGACACTGAGGGGCACTTACCTGCGTTCAGCTTATTAGTCATAACTTCCAATAAGGCTCAGAGAGGTTCTATCTTGTCAAGTCCGCTATTTGATGGACAAAGATTTGAACAAGATCTAGCCTCTTTATTGTTTTCTATAACCTATTAGCAGTTTTGCTTATTTTAAAGAAACAAAGCAACAGTTTTTGATTGGGTCTTTTATTTGAGAGGGCTCTAAATTTTTGAGTTCTTTATATATTCTAGATATTAGTCCTCTGCCTGAGGAATAGCTAGAAATTTTTTTTTCTCATTCTGCAGGTTTTCTTTTCATTCAGTTAGTTGTTTCTTTGGATGTGCAGAAGCTTATTAATTTGGTATGATCTCATTTGTTGAAAGATAAACTTGAATCATCTGTAGGAAAATGGATGCACTATGATACCGTAATATTACATGACATAAATCAGGCACGCAATTGTATTGTTTCTCTTATATGAGAAATTCAAAATAAAAATAAGAGAAAAATAAAAGTTAGATAACAGGAAGTGGGGAGATTGATTATTCTCAAATGGGAAGGGGATCAAGAGATCGAGGAAGGGGCCGGGGATTTAGGTCAGTGGTTTCACCGCCTGCTGCGCAAGCGCAAGGACCCGAGTTCGATCCCCGGTACCAAAAACCAAAAAAACAAACAAACAAAAAGAGATGGAGGGATGCATGAGGGAGAGAAGGGAAAGGGATGAAAATATAACTGAAATGTGTTATGTACATGGAGCAAATATCCACAAGGAATGGAAACATTGTGTCTGACAAACATGTACCAATAAAAAAAAGAAAAAAACAAGCAACAATGAAATACTTCTGTGTATATAATTTTTCTGTATTGGTTTAAAAAGCGGGACATACATAAAGGGAACCTTTGTCCTTGGGATTTTTAAGCATGTTCTGAACAAAAATATCCGAACATGTAATTGAAGCAAAATCATGGAGAACAGAGAATATTGATTATTGAGGGGGCAGGGGAGGAACAATCATTTAGTTTTGCATTTTCCAGTGACCACAGATTATGTAACTGCAGAAACAGAAACAAAATTTAAGAGTGCTTTAAACTCCTCAGCAGAGGGCAGCAGTGTACACAAAAACAAGAAGTGAGAGTGGTCCTGAAGAAAACAACACATTTTAAACAAAGATACTTTCCCAAAATAAAGTCCTTCTACATGTTCCCTCCTCTGGTAAGGTTAAACCTAAACTGAAACACAGAACATCTAACTAATTTTTGACTTACTCAGATAGGTGCTCAAAATGGGATGGAGCTTACTTTAGAATCAATCTTCCTGAGAGGATGGAAGAGTTCAGTCTAAGTGTGTGTCAATTTTTCCAGGGGCCGTCAGTTCAGAATGGACACGAAATCAAAGTGTTTTAAACAATGATCTCTTGCTTAGGATAACAGTGTTCTCCTCTTTTTTACAAAGACAGGTGTACACACAGGTGCTATTCTGATTCATTTCCCTAAGTGAGGAAGAGAACACATCTATGTGGCAATGACCTACCAGCCTATCTGAATCTTTTTAGCTTTTTAAAATGTGCACAAAAGGAAAAACATGTATACCAAGAGAAGTAAATATTAGATTTTTATATAAATGTCTGTGTCAGTCAGTAATTTTTTTGCACATTAACTTGATTTAGAGGGCACTAGGGGCTCTCTCTAGCCACAATATTGAGAGATCTTCCTTGAGGAATTTATAAAGAAGGCTTCCTTAGTTGCTTGGCCAAGTTCTAGATGCAAAGTGTTAAGCAAAGAGTTTCAGGAAGAAACAGGGCTGGGGATGGCACTCACCTGTGCACAGCCCTGGGATGAGCCTGCAGTGCACCCACCTGGAAGTCTGCAGTCACAGAGCCCCCACACACATCAATGAGCTCGGTCATGTCGTAATAGGCGTCAAAGGTCCACACGCAGCTCTTCAGGTTCAGGTGTTTGTAGAGCTGGATGGTTTTTAGCTCCCGAACACTGGGGTCAAATTGGAAGGGACGGTCATAGCCAGGACCCAGGGCAGTGCTGTCATAGACCACATCATCCAGGAACCCTGCTTCTGCCCAGGAGGGAAGGAATAGGAATGATGACTCAGTGTGTGGATGCCTACAAGCTGCGTGGGGAGAAGGGACCTATTCTTTGGACACCAAGAGAGCTTTCCATCCAACTGAGACTAAGGATAGAGTGGCCATGGGTCACCACACATAGGCAGAAAGTCGAAAGAGCTTGAGAATAGCAGAAATGCTTGTGCTGTGTGTCAGTGGAGGACTCCAATGGAAGAAGTGTTGACCAAGTGATAACATGAAGAAAGATGACAGAACCTGGAAAGAAAATGCACTGCAGCTTTGCCTCTGCACCTGGTGAGTGTGGCTCTGTATATGACAATCAGTCCTGAAGAAATGAACTTACTGTATGGACCAATCATTGGTGAATTATTATTTTTAAAAACAGCTTTTGTGGAAAGCCAACAAACCAATATCTGACTCTCTCCCCTCTTTCTTCCTAAGAGTTCAGGTTCCTGAACTCTTCAGAAAAAAAAGTCTTAATGAGTACATAGCTCACTAATGATGCTTGACTAAATCTCACCTGCTATAGGCAAAAATTACTGGATCAAATGCTGCCAAGTAAGTGAACTGTTCTAAATTAAAGAACTTTATGCAGTAGAGAGCTAAATATAATTTTAGAATATTAGTAATTTTAGAATATTAGTAATAAAATTTTCATAGTTCTAAAAGTGATGACAGTATTTTAAAAGAATTAATGGATTTCTTAGAATGCTTGACACTAGGGCAACCAGCCCTTTGTCCCACAAAGACTAGCCAGTCAATTGACCTTGTTGAAATGAACTCTTTACAAGTACGGAGAGGTGCAAAGTTCCACTCTCTACACACAGCACGTTTATTCTACTAGCTGCATATGTGAACCAATTAAATTTTCATGTGTAGCTCAATGAGTTAAGAATAATTGGTACTCAGCTAATTCTACAGTGTAAAGACCATCACTTCCAAAAATGATGCCTAATGATTATGAAAGAGCATATGAATGCATTTCTATCTTCAAAAACACTGTTAAATGATTTATCAGTTGTGAAGGGAGGAAATACGCATTTACTGTAGACTTGCTAAGGTAAATGGAAAGGGACAGGATTCTTTGTAACATAAAATGTCTGCTGTGGTGAATGCAGAGATGCTCTCTCTCAGCTGCCAGGCCCTTCAGGTCTGCATCTGCTGTCGAGTGGCTCAGGCCCAGGTCGTGCCTTGTGGGGACAGCCTGCATCCAGTGACTGAGTCAGGGGCCTACAAAGATTTGGCTGTTTGGGTTGGAAGCAGGACAAATCTCACCAGAGTTTCTCACTTTGACTGCAATGCAGTTTGACTTCTCCCTCTGCTGCCCAATCCTGCTTCCTCTCCTTTCCTTTAATAAGTATTGATCCTCAAAACATTTACACTCCAAAACTCTATTTCAGCTCCTACTTCCAGAGAATCTACTGAACACCTGCATGTTAAGCACTACTATCATAGGCTTTTAGGGCACAGATCCAAAAATGCTCTCTTCAGGGAAAGGAAGAAACTAAAATCTACCATGGTGGGAGCTTGAAACATGTCAGTGAATTGAATCCTCATCTTGATTAGTAGCAATGGTTGTCCTCATCTTATAAGAAAGCAGTGGCTCAGACAGGTCAAATTATCTTTTTTTCCAGTTGTATAGGTAGTGAAATAAGGATTTGAATACTTTGGTTCCAAAGTCCTTGTTTTTTTCCTATTGGCTTCACTGTCTGAGCTGCCTATGTTTAGATGCTGGCTAAGAAGGAAAAACTGATATGCAGATTCTGAGGACCACAATACATGAAACGTAGAGGTCTCTCCACTTAACCACAACCCCAGGCTCTGCACAGGGTTGCTGTGGGAAAACCAGGACCAAACTCATCCCTTACCTGAGATGCCGCTCAGGTTGTGGGTGGTGACAAGATTGGAGCAGACGTGCTGGTGCCTGTAGATGGACTCAGATAACAGAAAATGCAAGTTGTGCAGGGGCATAGTGGAGATAAGGGGCAGCATTCCATCTTGGTGTGGGATCTGCACTGAAATGTGGATCCTAGGGTAGAGAAAACAGGAATAAGTGTTTGGCTGCATGCTGTAACCATCACCAGGGTGCATTTCTTTCTCATCACAAATTTGTTTTCACCAATGAACTCAGCAATCTTTTCTCCCCGGAAACTTGGCAGGGAAGATTTCTATCTGAACATGAAGGTGTAAATGGATACCAGTGTTGTTTTTCCTGAGATCCTCCAGACTCAAGAATGACAGCAATCAGAAATCACAGATTTTTTTTTTCCTATGCAAGAAAAGATAACATCACAACCACAAATTACTTTTAAGCTTCCTTTTGCTTTAAATGGAAGCGTTGTATCCTCAGAAGCAAAAGCTGAATGGTTGGCAGAGTCACTGTCCTCTGCTCTGTCTCAGTGAATATCTATGGAAGCTGGGATGGTTGACACATTCAGGTTTTTAAAGCATTTGTTTGAGTCAAAAAGATAACACTGACTTCTTAAACTCTTTGGGCAATTTTCCGACCAGCCAAATATGTTAGAAATGACAATATCCCCCTCTTCACACTGTGTCTTCCCAACTACAAATAGCCACCTAAACATCCCTGTAGGTCCCATAAACACCTCACATCTGGGCCTCATTGCCAGCAACCTGTAGCACACTAGCCCTGGGTCTACATTGCTCAGTGCTTTGGTCGCCTTCATACCAGGGTATCTGTAACTTATTTATACTGGTTGTTGTTTCTTGTATGTCTTAAGACTCTGCTTATCTTGCCTCCCACCATGAGGACAAGGGCCATTTCTTTCATTTCTTTTGTTTATACAGTGCATGTAGTATACAATGCTAAATAAAATATGAGCTTCATAAATATTGGTTAAGACTGCAATACAAAAGAACTGTACTTAGGAGCTGCATTTGTTTTCATTGTGCACTTTTAAATTTTCAGCATGTTTATGGAGGGTGTGTTTTGAGTTTACTTAGCTTGTCTCCATAAGTAAAGAGCCACATTTTAAAGAGGAACCAGAACACGGGAAGAAAGCAGATGGCCCTTTTCCTAGAAAAGGGTCAGTTAGGACCTAGGTACTTGAGTTATTGTTCTGTAACAAAAATAAATTTGGTGGAAAAAAAGAATTATTTGTATATTCTTGGGCCCACATTCAAACCCAGTTTTTGTTTCTATGCTAAAAGACCCATTTTTCTGAACCCACTCCTCTGAAGGTACAAACTTAAATTCTATGAGGATCAACGAATATGTATGGAATGCATGAATTTTCTTTTGCTATGCAAAAATGCAATTATCTATCTTCCAAAACCATGGCAGCAAAGGAAAATATAACTCTAGTAACTTATAGCTTTGATGAGGTTGTTGTTCATTTGTTCTACAGATATTCAGTACGTGCCTCTTAGGTACCAAGAAGTACTGAACTCTGTGGAGAAGATGTAAAATAATCCTAGTCCCTGCCCTTAAGGTTCTGCAATCCATATCATGGACAGAATGAACTAGGTAATGCTCTGAAAGGGGAACGAAGGTACCAGAGGAGCCTCTAAATTGAACTGGAGAAGATGGTGAAAACATTGCTAGAAGAGATGCTATGAGCAGGGGAAAAGAGTGAGGTAAGGGAAATGAGGTTAGGAAGATACATAGGTTGAGCCTTGAGCAACCTTTGGAGAAAATTTTTTTCTAAAGCATTAATTACCAGTGTTTTATTTTGGAGAAGCATCACTCATTAATCTGCCCTACCTAGAAAACTCATGGTGGAAGGAGCCACCTGCCTGACCTGTTTGGATGCTCCTTGTGCTTGACGTCCAGGTATTTCAAGGTTGCAATGAAGGATTGAGCCTGGAAGCCTCTAGATGTCCCGGCCACCACTGGGGTATGGCAGATAGCACTGTCTGTCCCAATGGTAACGATGTTGCTCCTTAAGGGGGTTCCCACATGCCCCACCTTATCCACAGCCTTTGCCACGCAGCGTACATGAAATCGCCGGCTGAAGTAAATGCTATCAAGGACCTATGGGAAGAATAAAACACCTCATACCTGCACATGTCACACAAACAGGTCCTTATACTATATCTGTAGTGTGATATGACACAGTCAACTGCTGGTAAAGTAATCTGTAAAAGTCAACCATTCATTCATCCATCCATCCACCCACCCACCCACTGATAAATCCATCTGTTTGTTCATTCATTACATAATCGTTGACTTTCCACAGTGATCCAGGAATGAGGACTAGGGAATCCTTATAGCCAAAGGGGTAAGATAGAAAATGAGCAAGTAGATCGACATGCAGCAAGGGTCCAAAGAAGGCTGATGACTGTTTATAGTAGTTTTCTCTGTACACTATGTTTGGCAAAATGACTGCTGAACTGCTTTTCAGCACTTCCAGCAGGACTGGTTGGTCTCCAAGCCACTGTTGCTGCGTGCATGGGGGAAACTGGTTAAGGCCTGGATATAAATTCTTTAATTAAGTTGTCTTCCAGTAAAAGCCTCCCGGCCTTTTATTAATGATTCTTACAGTTTGGGATTGGCTTTTCAAGAATGAACATGAGCAGAAAAAGCTATCATCTGGTCAATAATGTTACGAGCTCAGAATCTCCACTCAGAATATAAGTCCCCTAAAAAGAAACATGTGCTTTTTTCTCCCTATCCAACCAACAAGCAGCTTCTCCCCAATTTTCCCAGTACTGACCAAGATGGGGCACAGATTTGAGCTTTTAGCTCCTAGCCTCCTTACCAGTCAGCCACCCAATAAAGCTTTTTCTTTCTGTAAACCCAGTTCCATAGTATTGGCTTCTACGTGTAGCAATCCAGGTAGTATTGTAATGATACCTGGATCCAGAGGAGAGGTGCTTCTCCCCAAGAGTTCATATTTCTCTTTCTTTCCTGGTGATTCCCCCACTCTGTAAGGGTCATAGTAACATGCAGGTTTGAAGCCGAGAACTTGATCTCTGATACCTGCCAGCCTTTCTACAGATTTCTCACATTTCCAGATACACAGAAGCAATAAGAGGGCTTAATAACTCAATCTATGCGGAGGCAATGGAGATTGCCAAGACTTCTCAGATTATGCATGCATACACAGAGGGAAGTATACAAGAAATATTAATTAGTAGTTCTGTGTGCCTTAGACTTCCCACAAAGCAAACATACAAATGTATAAATTCTTCCCATGAAAACAATTTTCACTGGAGTCCATTAAAAATTAAAGGATATTTTTCCATTAAACTTTTTTAATTAGCTGCCAACTCTTTCTTTATTTATTTATTTATTTATTTATTTATATGTAGACTTAGTCCAGAAGGGATTTGAGGCATCTTACAAAAATGAATATAACATAATGGTACTGAATAAATCATTGAATAAAGTTAAAGCAAAGGAAACTGGGTTGAAGGTATCAGGTCACCAATACCCCTGCAAGCAGAAAAACTTTAGTCACAGAATCATATATTTGGGACCCATAAAAATGTACATTTGGCTCAAGTAAACAAATATAGTTTTGTTGGACACAGAATTAGGTAATTATGAAACAACAAGCCGTTAAGTCTTGGCATTTTAATTTGTCAATAATAGAGAAAATGATTTAAATTTGAACTGGGTCATATTGCAAAAGAATGAATCTTGTAGCCTTTCTGAATAAGCTCCACCAACGTCAGTGGGTAGAAGTGGCCCTGCTCTGTCTCTGTCTCCCTCCTGTCTCTGTCTAACAGCTTTTCTCTGCTTTTATCTCATCCAACTTCTCACAATAAGAACAAATTGTAGGTTGAATAGGAAAATCTAGAGAAATTCAGTCTGAAAGAACTCTCTGACTTCCAAAACAAGTCTGCAAACAAATTTCAGTCAAAAATCATTGAATGATTACTATATGCCAGATTCTATGCTGAGCCTGAATTCCAACTGTGTTCACGCCTCTTTCGGAAGAGGTGTGCCATGAGCAGGATCACAGCAGTGACTGGCTTCTGAGGCTGGGAAACATCACTACTTCCGGCTTTCTGGTCTCCAAGCTCTTCAAGGGTAGCAAATGATTTAGGAACTTCTTTTCAGTCCTCCCATGGGACTTTGCAAATTGCTGATCACCCAATAGCTATTTCATTGTTTCATTTAAAAATTGGTCTCTACTATTGGCCATCAATATGCCAGTACTTTGGAATATAAAATGTGGTAAAATCTTAATCTATACCCTTAAAGAGTTTATATCTGAATACTTACTGAGTAATTTAAAATATGTGAAAAGGATTTAGTAATCACGTACTGGTACCTTCCTGAAATCTTGGACTTACTTTATCTTTTAGAGATCACATTTGTCAATGACTCTGTCCAGGGCTAAGCTAAAGGAGTATTTTTTTTTTTGATCAGGAGATTGTGATGGAATGGTCAAGTAAGCTTTAACATCATGTAGTTAAAAACAGGCAGTATCACGGACCTGTAAAAAGGTTTTCTGACTACTAGCTTAGTTCTCTTTCTATTATATTACCTTTTCTTATATAATAATAATAATAATAATAATAATAATAATAATAAATTTTTTAAAAAACTATGTATGTCCCTGTTAATTTGTTTTACTCCAGATGGCACACATGGGCCTTAAGTATTTTGACAGAGTCAGAGAAACAAAGAACAAGCCCTGTTCTCTCCCTCCCCAGCCCCACCCAGCCCCCAGACCTACCATGTGGTTGACACTGGTAAATGGTGTGCTGTCAGTGACAGTCTCAAAGGGAGACCGGGCACCATTGCCATCAGTGGGGGCGGCCACCTCCCAGCTGAACTGCACAGATGTCTGGTTGATGCCAGCCTCACCACAATGCTCCTTCATGATGGCAAACCTGGGGAAGTGTGGGTCACAGGGAGTGACACAGACCAGAGGGTAACCTGGAGATGGGGCTTTCTTGACTCCTTCCTTGGTAACCTCTTCTACATGGTCATAGTCAGCAAGAGTGACAACCTGAGAAAGAACAACAGTTTCAGGCCAGGTTGGGTATCAGGAGGATTGAAAATGAAGCTCCTGCCCCTCAAGTCCTCCTAGTCCCTTAACTTCCAGGGACTATAATAAACTATCAGAAGGTTTTACAATTCCTTGTCAGGCATACCCAAAAGATACTATAGTTCTTTATCATGGGGCAAATCCTTCTAGTGCCTGGGTTCAGAGCTTTATTAGCTTATTAACCCACATGAGAATCAGAGCCCTGTCACTTATTTTCCTGTCCACTAGAACTGAAGCTGGATCATGAGAAGCAGTTGCTAGTTTAAGCTTGCATGGAATTCTTAATGCTATGCAGTAGCACATTTTCCAAAATAGGAATAAATAAAGGTAGTATATTTCTTCTATGGTCAAATAAGAGATACATCTAAAAATTATCTTTTTTTTTTTAGTAGTGCAGAGACTAGTAACAGGAGGTTAGGTGCTTGTTCTGACTGTCCCCCCTGTTACAGGTTAGGTATCTCCTGGTAGTCTCCAGATATTTTCCCCCTAAATGTAAAGTCAGCATGTTCATTCTGTTTATCCCAAACTGGGAACTATGGGACTGCGTTCTGTATTTCCTTAATTCTGTGTGCTAAACATGTAGGAGGATAGATATGGGGTAGTTTTACTTCCCTACTCTTCAAGGTCTCACCAAAGCAGTGAGAAGAGAATTGTATCGTGCTTCTTGTCTCTGTTAGACTAAGGTATCAACACTGTTTGGTTTCACTCTCATTTCAGAATAAGGCTTCTGCTCTGCGGCACTACTGAGTTTTTTGTTGTTGGGGGCTGTCCTGGGCATTGCAAGGTTTAGCAGTGTCCCTGGCTTCTACCCACTAAATGATCATAATGTGACATTTGGGACAACTAGAAATGTTTCCAGACATTGCCAATTGTCTTCAGAAGGGGGAAAGTGGGGGGCAAGGTTGTCCTGGCTGAGAGCCACTGTGTCAGAACAATGAAGAAGTAGCACACTGTATGTCCCACTCCTCTCCAGTTCCCAGCCACTGTTCACTGAGACTTTGGGTCAGGTAACTCACAATGGGGGGAGCTGGCAGGATGAGACTCCCCGCTGCCTCCTGGTCTAGAATTGTCACTGTGGCAGTGGTCACATCCCCAAGAACTGCCTCCACTGGGTCATCAGGGCCAAGAACTAGAGAGAAAGATTCGTGCCATTCCCGGTCTTCATTAGACAGGATCTCGACTTTAAAATATATATGGTCCATACCTTTGCCAAGGACAGAACAAAACAAGAGCAAAGCATCATTAGGGGACATACTCAAGAGTGTGCACACTGGCACTGCCGACGTGTCATCTTAAAATATTTCCCTTCCTTTTAGAGGTTTTCTATAAATGCAGTGACCGCTAATCATTTTTGCCATATCTCAAGTGAGAAATCTGTTTTACAGAGCAAATTCTACCTGTGGTAGAGGCTCAGTACTGCTGACTTACTATTCAACACCATATGAGGATTAATGGCTCCTGCCTGATGCTGGCAGTAATAAAAATCTATGATCCAAAATACACTTTCTTTTGGTTACAAGGTTTTTTTGCTTAATTTTTCTTTCCCCTTTATAGTTATGCATGAGCTCCTCGGTAGCTGTGAAGGCCTATACACCCACATACCCTTCAAAGCAATAGCTCAAGGCTATTCAAGCAGGCCAGGGTCCACAAAGGCTGTGAAGAGGAGGGTTGGTGGCTGGAAGAAGAAATGCACAAGGCTTAGAAACCCCCTTCCTTTGATGTACAATGACTTTCTGAGGGTGTGAACATCCCTGCTAGTAGGTAAGTACCCTTCTTCCTGTCCTACAGGAAGAACATGAGCTAGGTTGCTTGTATACCTAACTTTCCCCTAGATTCTTATGCAGAAAAGGAAAAAGTAAAGACACTGGAAAGAGAGGTCCTCCTGCAGATATGAAAGAAGGGCTCTACTTTTCTATCAACTGAACACACATGGGATGGAGCTGAAACCCCCTGTAAAGCTCCAGGGAGGTATGAGAGATATAGGGGGACCCCTACGCCCAGCCTCCATCATTTCTTACTTTTTCCATTCACTTGCCAAGACATTCCCATAAAGTACTAATACTGTTGCTCACTGCTGGTTACATCAAAAATGGCCCCAAAATCTATACCAGAATTTCACTGTTCCAGAAAGTTCTGTGATAAATCCTAGCAAACATTCAATTCTTACCTACCCCCCATCACATTCATACATCAGACAGTGAAACAGTTGGTTGTGGCCTGACTCACATTTTTCTCTCTTCTTCAATTTGTCTCTATATTTCTCTCTGGGGTAAACCTTTCTTGGAAAGTCTGTAATAGGGTATCTTGTTTCCTAGTAGATGTGAAACCACTCGAACATAGGATTGTGCCTCTCACAATGTGTAGAGCCCAAAGAATCCGGCACAGTGCTTTGCATCAATGTTTGTTGAATGATGTATATATGTTTTTGAACCAAGTGTTCTTATCACTCAACCAAACCAATAGGGTCACAAAAAATCCTTTTAAACAAAAATACCCAACATGTTCTGAAGTAAGGGACTTTTTTTTCATGTCATTTTCACTAATTAAAAAAGGTTACCTACCATCTCAAATATGTGCTCAATAAACATTTTATATTATTAGCACTACTGTTTTCTTCCTTTGTTTCTCTGCTTTCTCCTTTCTTCAAATACAAGATATCAAGCTCTCTATTGAGAAAAGGCACAGATTGGGACTGGAATTCAATTACCAGGACTGAATTTCAAGACTCGGCTCTTCGGGTAATAATCCACACCAGACTGGGCAGACCCATCCCGTGTGCTACAGCGGACCTTGGAAGTCCTATTCTGATCTCCTCTTCGGATCACCTTGATGTTCAGAACTGCAATGGCATCCAGCCCCGCGGGCTCCCGCACTTGGTATGCAGCTTCTTCAAACTCAATGGTAGGGGCTGAGGAAATACAGTTAGGGAAACAAGAGCAAGCGTGAACAACATGAAGGATGCACAGTCCTGTGAACATACAAGGGGAACAGCAAGGGGGAACTGTTTGTATTAGTTAATAACACCCAGGCAAAATGGCTTGTGGTCATAACAACCAATCAGCATTTACTCTTTTTTTTTTGGTACCAGGGATAGAACTCGGGCCCTTGCGCTTGTAGGGCAGGCGGCAGAACCACTGAGCTAAATCCTCGGCCCTCAGCACTTACTCTTAAGCAATGCTTTGGAAAAAGGAATTTATTTGTGGTCCTATAGGATTTATTTCTCATGTTTCTTATTAAAAACAATATAATGAGGGAGATATTTAGAGAAACTTTGAAATACACGATGTCCTTGTTTCCATCTTGGCATTGCTGTTCAATGAATGTTTTAAAATCTGCATAATTTATCAAGGGACTGAGACCCAGTAGGTTCTTGATAAATATCTATTGGCTGATTATATGAATTAACTTTTTATTTATGAGCTATGAATTTCTTAGGTCTGTAATTTATCTCATTTATATAGTGCTTGAGTTTACCAAATCCACCTTTTATTTTTTGGTCTTTGGATGCCCACTCCCAGGGTTCCTACCTCCTCGACCCTCAGCTTTTCTTAATTTCTCACAGATTATTTGGCTAAGTATGGTTGAGCACCTGGCTACAATGATAACTTAGGAACACAAGACTTTCCTAGTGCAGTCTGGTTTGAAGTACTACTGTCACTGTCAGGAAATGACTAATTATGTTTTTGCTGGTTTTTACCAAAAAATTTCTATTCTCACAAGGAAGGGTGATATGGGGTGGTAGTAGAGAGAGAGGTAAAAAGGTGGTAAAATTGAGAACAACTACAAATTTTATTTCAATTTTTAGTATATTATAGAGCACTGCAGAAATTTCTCATGCCTACCTTTCTCTGTCTCTTGGAAAATCAAGTCTTCCTAACTATAGAACATAAGCCTCAATTGGAGAAGTCAATTTTTTTACCTAATGCTCTTAGAAATGTCAGGAGCTTGCTGGAGCACTGTAGATTTATTACCTTTCTGAACCACAATCACTGGGTCTTCTAGGTGCCTGGGAGAGACTCACTTTGGGATTTGCATCTGTCTACTTGCATAAAGTACTTATTCAGTTTCAAGGCTGACTTTTAAATTTTATGCAATTTTCAAGACGTTCTCGATTTTTCTCAGGAACCTAAGAGTCTCACCAGTTCTCATGGTAGTTAAGAGTTAAAATTCTAGAATAGGATAAAATAAGTTTCCCATCCAGTTTTGCTGTTTATAGCTGTGTAACTAAGAGTGCAAATTAAATAACTTTGCTGAAGCTCTGTTTCTTCACCTATAATATAGGGATAATTACACTTACTGCAAATGATTGCCATCAGGTTAAGTGAAGTAAGATAATACACTTAGGATGTACAATAAATATTTGATAGAAACCAATTATTATTCATAATGTTATTAGATTTTCACTCTTTAAAATACCTTATTTTACTAAAACAGTGATGTCTCCAGTTGAAACAGGTTTAGTTTCCTCTGATGCCTGGGTCACTCTTTGCTAACATCTCACTATGGAATTTAGGTTTTTGTTTTTAGGTTAGTAGGTCAAATCAATTAGAAGAAAATTGAGAAATTAGACTTTTCTAGGAAGGTAGAAGTGTTTTAAATAAGTTCATTGTATTCAACTGATTCTGAGTGTATTTCCAATCCTGCTCCTGACCTGTAATATCTTATGTGGTTTTTATTCTCTGTCTATCTTAGCATTTCTGCTCTAGCTTTTAACCATACTTGTTCTTCATCTCTTGATAACGTGGTAGGGAATAATGAGATTTAAAATACTTATGAACTCACTAGAGTGATGCATAGGTGATCACCTGGTACAATCATCTTCTATAAATATTCACAGATTATTAATACTTTTATAACACTTTCATCTTCAAAATAGTAATCATTATATTATTAATAAAATATCAGCTCATGTTCCATCAACCTAAGGGTAAGCAAAGGCAATTTCTTCTGTTACCGTCCTCATCATTGGATATGGTGATGATGGCCATGTTATTCTTTCCAACTCTGGCTCCACTCCAGTGGTTCCCAAGAGGGTGGCCAAGGTGGACCCTGAACTGCTCCTCAGGCTCAAACATGGAGTCATCATGGACATAGACAGTGCAGTTCTTCACCTAGAGCCAATGGCATAAGACCAACTCTTTGAAGCAAGAGATCAATAATTTGCTTGGTTCTCCTAGAAAGTTATTTTTCCTCTTTGTATCAACCAAAGAGTTAACATAAATTCAGAAGGGTCAAGATAGTTCCATTCATAAAATATAATGTTTAACAGTTTATGTCATGCATGATGGTGGTGCATGCCTATAATCCCAACACTCAGAAGGCTAAGGCAAAAAGATTGCTGTGAGTTCCAGGCCAGCCTGAACTACATAGAGAGACCTTGTCTCAAAAAACCAAAAAAATTACAAAATCTAACAGTTAATGACGAGTTGAATTAAAAGAATATTTGAAACCATTCTGAATTATTAATGATTAGTTATGAAAAGCAAAATCAGTAAAATAAATAACCAACTAAAAAATCACCTGCAGAACACCTGCATGCAATCCCGCATGTTATGTGGGTTACAGAACATATCTGTACATGTTATAAAGGTAGGCTTCTCATGATGGGGGTTCAATATACGCTAGACCTCCTGGACAGCTGAGGAACATTTCTTTTGCTTTGTAAAAATTGAATAACCTTATAAGGAACAGAGAAAGCCTTTGAGTTACCTTTTAATAGTAAAGAACTTTCATATCTGCTGCCAAGTAGGATCTCATCTGAAAAACTGCTGTGGACTAAAAGCCTGACAACACAACCCAAATCCCTATTTGCTGGCAAGAAACTGAGTGCTTTGCAAACAGGATTTTCTACTGAGGGTTGTATTTTTGAGAAAAGGTAAGATGGAGTCACAACGTTTTAGAGACACATCAACCTCAATAGTAGAGTCGTGTGATATGAAGTGAGATATTTTTAGTTGGAGGATTTTAAATCTATTACCCTATTTTATTAAAGAATATGTGGGTAGAGAGAAATGTTACTCGCATGCATCCTGAGTTGTTTCAAATGGTAAGCAGACTTTGCAGTGAATATTTATATGTAGCTTGTTATCCTGCTTTTAAGTCCCTGAAGAATCCTCTTTTTTCCTACAACATCTTTGCTACAATAAGAATTCTTTATGGAATGCATGAATTTAGTAGTGACTGTTCTGTTTCTTTTTTTTTTTTTTTTTTTAAAAAAGACTTATTAGTAATTGACAAGCTTCAAAGACATGTGTAGCAAGCCAAACAAAATGGAGATTCCAAATTGTGCTTAGGAATGAGAATAGATTTTCATGTGGGTAACACATAGACTATTAGTCTGTATTTTCTTTCTATTTTTGATAAATTAAAAACTATCTATTAATAGGCAGAGAATTGTCTTTCAAACTGAAAACAAATATAAACATTTAGACACGAAGCTGAAGACTATCTACACTATTTTATGTGTTTTTAAACACATGCTTCCGTCTGCCACCACCAGTAAAATCCCAATAAAATATGTAAGTAGGGCCTGTCTTTGTGAGCCATGATTGTGTAAAACTCATGAGAGTCCCAAAGAAGAAACCTATTATTTTTTTTTAAATAGTAAAGTTGAACAGAGGACAAATGTGGAGGGCTCTATAATGGGTAAAGTCAAAATGTTAAGCTTCAAAACAACTAATCATGACAAAAAATTTGATAAATTTGTGACAAAATTGAAGGCTTTTGTTCAAATAAGTGGACCATGGCAAAAGACAATAGATAAGAGACAGGTTTTGCCCATAAGAATATATATTCAAAGATATCTCACTTGGGTCTGTGAGGGCAGGTAGCCTAGATAGGGGGAGAAAGAGGCTTGTCGCTGGTCACTTGGACTTGTCACTTGCTTGCTTTTGCTGTCTTCTGTTTTGCCATGAACTGTTTCTCCTCTGTGATGCCCCTCTGCCATACCACCCTGCCTTGGAGCCAGCCAACTATGGACTGAAACCTCTACGAATGTGAGCCAAATAAACCTTTCCTTCCTTAACTTTGGGTGTCAGGTATTTTGCCTCAGCAATGAGAAAAGTAATTAAGATAGTCACTAAGTTGCCCAGGTTGGGTTCAAAGCACTATCCTCCTGCCTCAGCCTCCCAGAGTAGTGGAATGGCAGCTGTGTGCCACCACACCGAGAAGATGTGTTTAATTTACTCACTATGGACAAACAAAGGGTGACAAGGAAGAAGAGAATTCGCTCTTTCAGCCCCCACAAGTCCACTTACCTTCTCTCCTTTCAGAAACGTAATTCTTGAAGAGTCTTCATTTCTCCTCTCCTCAAAGTCCTGCATGACCTGGGCGGTGTGGCTCTGTGTGTAGCACCTCACTGAGGACTCATAGCTCAAGTCTCCACTGCGGATGATAGGAACGTGCAGGACACCTTCCTTCTCCTTCATGAGGAGCAGATCCTTGGCAAACTGCATGCTTGGCACTGGGCAGGCGGATGGAGAGATAAAGAGGCATTGTGAGTGGTAGACAGAGGGGTGCAGGGGCCACAGCTGAGCCCCCTAAAGGCCAACACAGGCCGACCAATCACAGGTGTGAACTGGATTTCAAGGTGTGGTTACTGTTCCCAGGACAGGAAACTGCTCTCATTTTGAGTATGATTCCAATAAAATAGAATAAATCAACTTTTCACCTGTCTGCTTAGCTTACAATTGCAGCCACCACCCTAAATGCAGGCAGAGCATACAGGGGAAGAAATGGAACAGATGTAAGAAAAACTTCGACAGTGACCTGAGTACTCAAAAGGCTTTGCTTTCCTCCTGAGGCACAGGCAGAAAGACATCAGGGCAAGTCTGATGACAAATGGACACTTGCCTTTGTTCTGGGGCTGGGGAAGGAAAAGGAGAGAGGGGGACATCGACAGAGAGAAAAGGGCAGCTCTGCTGCAGGGGTCCATGCCTTTGGCTTCCACGTCTTACCTCCAAATGAAACCAAGGATCCGAATATTTTTTTGGAATTTTTCTACCAAATTTAAAAATAGCAACAAATAAGAGTAAAGAGAATCTGCACATAGGTCAAGACTATTTGGATCCAACAAAACACACCCACAGGCTGAATTTCACCAGCAGGCCCTTGGTCTGTGACCCTGGTTGCAGGTTATCTCGTCTTTTGTAATGCACGGCTTTGACTTGAGGAAGGTATCATAGCCAAACCATAGTTAAAAACAGGGCCTTTGGAGTAAACAGGCCTGAATTTCCATCTCTATCACTTATTAACTATAGAAGGCATAGGGCAAATTGCTGAGGCTCTCTCAACTTGGGTTTTTTCCATATATAAATTGAAGATATTAGTATCTCATAGAATTGTTGAGAGGTTTGGATTTTATGAGATAATACACTCATGCATTACACTTGATACAGTATCTGGATTATAGGAGGCACTTTCAAATTTTAGTAGGAAATAATATATTATGTTTTATATTTGTCCCCTAGCTTCAGGCCTCTCAATATGAAGCATTCTTTTTTTCTCTATACTTCCTACAGTGCCTACTGTTATGCTCTGCATGAAGACATTTCCTGAGGCCCAACATTTCGTTGACTGCTGGTTGTGAATTTTTTCACGAATAATGCAAAAAGACATATATCAAAGCCTCCTGAGGTGGAATTAGTCTTTAGAGCCATAGGAAAGCAACCCTAGAGCTGTAATCACCTATTTCCTGGCTACCTTCTGGATGTGGCTTTCTAAACCTGAAAGGAAGGAACAGGAAGGGTCTTTGCTCTCCAAGTGCAGGGAGTTCTGCTGGCTGCCACCACCACTGTTCAGAACTGTGGGCTCTGGGAAAAATTAAGCCATTCCATCTTCTGAACCAAACCCACTGGTTACTAGTTATTGCTTAAGAAAAGGTCCGAAGACACACTTAAAAGACCACTGCTTTTAAAGGAAAATGATGACTTCTGTATAGAGGCCTGCACATTAGCCAGATAGCAGTCCATCCTCTAGTAAAATGGTCTGCACTCCTAAAAGGTGACATCACCCAGCACCTCTCTTGGCCTGGGAGGACCAGCAGGAAGCTTGTTACCAGGGAAAAAGAAAAAACAAGCAAAGAAGCTCTTCTTTTTTTGCAGACTTCTGAGGCTCTAGATTGGTTTTGCTTGCTGGTCTGGCACGTTTAAGTCAGATGCGAAAGTTCAGGGCTTAAGTGGTAATGTTTAGGTTTTCTCATGCATTAATCAACCCCAAATTTCTCTTGAGCTATAAAAGACACCTGTTTTCTTCTGTTTAACAAGATATTCACCCTCACTTCTACCCTTTTACTGCAGGGAGAGAGGGGGAGAGAGAGACAAACAGAGAAAGGGGGAGAGAGACAGAGAGAGGGAGAGGAGGATGGGGGAGAGGAAGGGGGAGGGAAGGAGGAGAGGGAGGGGGAAAGGGAGACAAAATGAATGAATGAATGAATGAATATAGAACAACAGGGTGAGCATGGGGCCAGATTTCTGGACTCCATGTTTATGGTATAGGTCAAGCATTGTGTTGAGAGCTTTCACATATATTAACATCATTTCTCAATCCTATAGGGCAGTACAATTCCCGGAAGAGGTAGCACTGGCCCAGGGAGAGGATTCCCTGACTGCAAAGCCTCTCTCTTTCCACACTGATGCAGTACCTATAAATACAAAACCTCAAAGGTGCCTGGGCTCACACTGGGCACGATCTGCTTGCTGCCAGCACCCCTGGGAACCTTCAATGTTCACAGACGGTTTACAGTTACCTTTTGATTTGTGTTAAATCTTGCTTCCAGAAAGAGACTGCGGGACTCTGCTCTCCATTACTCTACTCATTGAGCATCAATTTTAGGCTTGGAAAATGTTCTATAAACACTGTAGTGCTGCTAATCTCCTTTGTGACAGGCAAAGTGGGTATACATGCTCATGCCTTGAATGTGATGGGCTCCTCCCAACAACAGATAAGGCAGGCATTTAGAACACTAGTTCTTTATTTTATTTTTTAAAATTAATTTTATTGGTACATTTTAGTTATACAGTATAATGACATTCATCATTGCAAATTTGCACCTTTACATAATCTCTCTTGGTTCTTATTTTTTCCCCATTCCCCTGCCCTCCCTTC